GCATGCAGTCAGCTATTTTGGCGGGCTTATCGATGTTAATATGACCGTCTTTAAAGGCAAGTAGTTGTTGAATGTTTGCAGTTAGTCGTTGTAGTTGGATTTGACAAAGCAGTCGTTTCTCGATTATCCTACCTGCTATAAGGCTTTGTGAGTACCTTATGAGATGAGACGGTGTCTTATCACCTAAGTCGACATTGCTTAACAAGAAGTCTAGTGACTGTCTATCAGACAGTGACGTCCAGCGTAGAACCTCTTCTTTCACTTTATCGTACGAGTATTCCGTGCTAGGACGAACAACAAATTGGCGCATTTGCTCAGCTATATGCTCTAGTAGTACAGCATTCAAAATGACAAATTTAACGTTCTGCGAAGGTAGCTTAATGACAGTGAAGTAGTGTTCTGGTTGAGAACACCAAAGATCGGGATCTCTGGGTTTAAAAATGGCAAGTGTTACAGGTGCCACGCGAATAACATTCGAGGGTACAGACTTGCGGTCTTCAACCAAAGTGAAAACAAAGCCAAACAGTTCCAATGTAGAATAGCTGCAGGATTACTGTTCATGGAATATGAGGTTATCAAGCGTGAAAACACCAAGAACACAATGGTCGAATCCAAAATTAGCTCGCAATTAACAAAAATATCAATTGAAACAAGAAAGGTATTAGAGTTCAATGAAGCACAAACACAAAATGCAAAATAATATATGAGGTACAACTTTAATAATCATGGGTGGGAATATTAGATGTAACAGTAAGAGTAATAGCACTAGCAGATCCTAGCTTGCAGTTATCAGAGCTATTGTAAGATATATAAGAATTCGTGGAAAAGTGGTTTCAAAAGCACAAAATAGCAAAATGGATACATGGTGAAAATATCAAAAGGCAAAAAAGAATAATGATGCTTGCCACAAAAGAATGCAGATTAGGTACAAAGAAAGAACAACAAAATAAGTTGAAAATGTGTATTATGTATAGATTCAAGAAAGTTAGAATATTAATAATCCGGAAAGTGTTTCGGTACGTCGGTTCATCAATTTTTCGAGCAAGATCCCAGACTTCGATTATTGTACTCTAATATATCCATATCATGTTCATCAAAGTGCTAAACGCTGTGTACAGCCAAATACGAACAACGTTGTAAACAAAAGCACAAGTAAGGATTTGAAAAAATGCATTGTAAGCACAATCGAGATTTGAAGTACGCGAAACAGGTGCAGGCGTCAGTAACTGCGTAAGGTACATATAAATACTCGAAAACCAATGTTCAATTATGCAATGGTCAATATTCCGTAAGCACACATAAAACTGTAACGACAGAAGGCAAGAGTCAGGCAACAGATCATTTATTAAGGAAATCAACGCATATTTATATATTTTCATGTACATTACTATGGATATTTAAGCAAACAAACACAGTCTTCCGATTGGTTGTTTCTTACGTAAAGTTAATCTTTTATCTATTTGTGACTGTTTCTTGAATGTCAAATCCTCTATATGATAACTGCATCCGCCTACGCAAAGTCTGCTGTGGTCGGTTTTGAATCAATCTTTGTTCACATTTTCTCACGACAAATCTCGGGAACGTAAATATTGACGTAAATTACTGTCTACCAATTTGGCTAGTAGACAGCTCTCAGCACAAAACTAGTTTCTGTAGTAGTATAATATGTGTATATGAATCAATTTTGTAATTATTCGGTTAAAGTTAATATAGGGACACTGAGCGTTCATTTCTTTTCATAGTCAATAAATTCATCTCCCCTATGTTGAATGTTCTTGCAGATGACATACACATTTATACCTGTATCTACTTACTGCTTATAAATTTTGTTCTGTAACAAATGGTCGCTTTTAGTAAGAGTATGATTTAGTCAATAAGGTAAAGTAAATTTGGTGAATAAAAGCGCATGGTGACACAGTACTGTGCAGTGCATGCATTAACTTACAATCACAGAATAGAGTAGGACAGAGTTACGGTTGTGAAAATTAATATACGAATGTGATTGGAGGAGTTGATTGCTTAATCTCCTTTCATAGAATCTACACCTTACACGTGCAATAGGAATATCAGCGTCAATACAAGAGGTATAGAAAATACTACTGACAATAAAATTAAATGATACGAAATAATGGAAGTATATAAACAAATTTCAGTTTTTAGATTCCTTCACTAACCAGAATCGGTTAGAGAGATCATTGAAAACCAGGGAGCATCGTATCAAATTATGCCCATACTAATACCACTAAATAACGACGATTACAAAAAATTAGTCACAAAGATGGATTAAGATCCATAAGCCGATTGCGTCAATGTCTCATGCCCAAAGCTATAAGCACTAAAACTGACTGTCCATATTGGCACTGTTGCAGAGCACAAATACACTGATGTGACAATCAGCTAGCAGCCCACATGACTTTCAATAGATACAGCACGTAATATAAGGAAAACCTCAAAAATATAGTGGAAATGAGGATGCCCTTTAATGGAGAAGTCAAATCAGATCGCGTTTAGTTCACGTGAAGGAAAAGTTTACCTAAATGGACAGTTCAATTATAATGTCGGTTTCCTTAAGACTGAGTTTATCGAAACATGCTGAGTAAATCAAACCCAGGTCTCTTGGGATTAGACTGATTTGAAGAGTTGTAACCTTTGAAAATCTCGTCAGAGTTTACACAGTTGAAACGCTCGAATCCTCGTCATAACTCTAGAAATTCAAGTCGCTGCTTCAGCCAGGACTAGGTATTGCAAAATCAGGAGACAGGTCCTGCATTTGCTACCTGATCTAAAACCAGCTTTCTTCGGAAAGGACGTGTTTATCTGTTTTTCGCTGGAGACAGCCGAATCGCCGAAGATTTAAAACAGTACGATTCTGGAACTGACAAAAGAAGAAGGGGTACTGATTTTATTGTATGCGTTACTTCCAATTGTTGCCTATTCTTGAAACGATTATATTTTGCTGTATAAAGCAGACTGTTAGGGTAGAACTTTTCGCCGCGATTTGATTGGACGGCCATTGATGCCTGACCTTATACAGACTGTGGTGAGAGCTGCCTGCTAGCCAAATTGGTAGATGGTATTTTACTTTAATGTTTACGTCCTCAATATTGGTCGGGAGAAAAATATGAACAAAGACTGATTTACCAACCAACCACAGCAGACTTTGCATAGGCGGATACAGTTAGCATATAGATGATCTGACATTAAAGAAACAGTCACAAAGAGATGAGAGATTAACTTTCAGTGAGAGACTATGTTTTTCTGCTAACAATAATCTATAATAATGTACATGAAAAGCTATAAATATGTGTTGATTTCCTTAATAAACGATCTGTTGTCTGGCCCTTGTCTTCTGTTGTTACACGACGATCGAATTAGTTTAAGTGAAACGTGTAGTGTATTGCGCAACACATTTCGGACATTCTGATCACACACTTACTTGTCCTATATATATATATATATATATATATACAACAAGTGGATAATCTAAAACACGAAATATACTTCTGAATCAATTCCGTTTAGCTGAGAAGTGTACTCATCTAGCCGTAAGAATACAGTCACGTTCTAAGCGGCATCAGTGCTTAACGGCATGCCTAGAGACTTATCAATCCAGAATGGCAGTAAGTGACGATCAAATCGTAGACCCTGCAATCCTTAGGATTACAGTAGAAGGATAAAATTTACTGATAAATAAAAAAACTAAATCGTTTAGGCACAATAATTACCCGAAGAGCTAGTTTCTTTCTCATATAACAGTCGCTATGTGTTAAGATACTTCATTGTACTCATAATGAGATACTGGGTTTTTTAGAGCTTTTAAAAAAAAAATTCGGAGTCAATGTAAATAATTTTTTTTACTTAATTTAAACCGTATTTTCGGTTTATAAATATTTTTTAGAACTCAAAAACACAAATATGCATTTACTCAAGTGATAACGACGTTAGATTAATGTATCACACAATTATGTAGAAAAAAAATGACGAGAAGAATTGTTAAGGAGATTTTTTTAGGTTAATGCATAATATACCCTTCAGTAACGTACAACTGTATGCAGAGAAGTTCGTGAATTTTAGGAATACTGGAATAGTTAGTTAGGAGACATTTAAGTCAATAAGTACGATGCCGCTCATAACGATTAGATTAGAGTAAAATCACAATGATTAGTTACTAGGGGGTACACTGTATCAAGTTATCTGACCCATAGTGGTGACTGGGTTTTATCAGTTGAGTTAAATTAAGGTCTAGTTATCAAAATATACGAATTCACTAAATAATATAAGTGTTCAGTGTTGAACAAAGTTGTTTATCACAGGGCAGAGAAACGTAGCTCAACATCGATTGAATTACCTTCGTTCAGCAATTTATTTATATTGAAATTATTTACTTCAATTTACCAAATGTAGAAAAAGATGGATAATATATATGCGGTGACAGGAAGTTGTTTTGTATTCTGATATCACTTCAGTATGAGTATATTTACGCAATGCAGTCATCATCACTCAGACTTACTGTCAACCAGATTGACTGATAGGTCACCTAATACCAGCTCATCAGTTAAGTCTTATCGATCAAATAGTGACTTGGTGTGCAGCAAATTATAACAATCAATTCGAACAGTTACAACATTAAAAATATATTATGTCTTATAAAAATTGACCAGATTATTGGGAATCCCTTTTAGTAGTAGGACTACTAATTACACATTTTTTAAATATTTCTCTGCGCTACGATGAAACATAAAAAGAGTATTCAGTCGATGCATAGAATCATTTAACTGTAATAAATCTGCAGAAGAAATTATGAGTACTGTAGGAATACATGACTATCTGTTAAATAACAACAAATAAAATAAAAAAAAAACAACTATGTAATTCTAAAGTCTTTTCATATTTATAAAAACACGAGGTTTTATATTTTATGCACGTGGAAAAGCATTCACTTAGAAAAAATGTTAAAAAAGAAGATTTTAATAGGGAAATGTAGGAAAGTGAAAAAAATAAAATAATACATCTGTTGCTGTTTTACTGTCCGGTAGTCACTTTTTGAGAATAAAGTGTTGAATCCATACAATTAACCAGTTTAATTCACCTTTATGAGGAAGTAGACGTCTAACAACGGCATTCAAAGCTAGACGGTTTAAATGCAGTCGTCCAAAACCAATATTCACACAAATGCATTTGAATACAGCGGCTACATTATCATTGGAGAAGAGAGAGAGATGAAAAGATGGAAAAGACGAAAATAGTTAAATTGTAACTTTATCAAATTAAACATTTCAAATAGCAAACAAAATCGACAAAACAGTTTTTTCTCTTCTAACGAACAAAAAGTTTGTAAAGTTTAGGGGACACGGTAAGTAAACTCTGGGATAGTGTGTTAGTTGGACTGATAAGTTCATGTTATTCATGATCTTCAATTTAAGCAGAGACATTAACACTGAAGTGGTACATCTCTTGTCTAAAGTTCCTTAACCAGAAAAAAGAATCCAAATACGAAATTGCATTCTACTACAGATACGTGCTTTGAAAAATGAATAATTTGATGAATCAAATTACAATTGATATTGACTATGAACAATACATTTTGTCCAAAATGTCCACCGGTAAAAACCACAGTTACTGTATCATATAACCAATGAATAAATTAATATAGAATTGCATACTGTCACAGTGTCCAAGTTTCACACATACATTAGGAATTATCAAACAATTAGTAGAAGTGAACTAAATCATTCTGAGCGCTATTATCAACACTTTTGAAGAGGAAAGATGTTAGCGTTTTTCTCCAGACAAATATCCTGCTTTGTAAAATTACATCTTTTATTGATAACAATAATAATTAAAACTGTCAGATGGCGTCGGTGATTCGGCGTTACCACGCTCGCCAAGCACGCACATCGTCCGGGGTTTGATCATTGGGCAACGCACTCCTAAACCTCACTTAGCTGGTAGTAAATCCGGTACAGAGGGAAGGTTGGGCGTGAGGTTAGCAACCCCATTCTTTAAAAAATGAAACCACTGCTACCGAAAATTCAAAGCTCTAGCTTGAAGTCCTATGTTCCACTCGGAACGCTAAGGAAAAAAAAAAGTCAAATATATATTTATTTGTATACTAGGTGGTTGGAGGTAGTTATCAAAATGTCCTCGATCTAGCTTTCATGCTCAACTGCACTCGTCAGCAAAGATTATCTGCAGCTTTGAAGCAACTGAGATTCTATCCTGAGTCACAAATTTTCACATTCAGAGACGTTAACACTCAGTCGTTATGGATACAGCAATTAGTAACCAACGTATAACTAATACCATTTGCCAATTTTTTGAATTCTATCAGTTAATTCTAGAACTATATAAATGACATTAGTTATCTCTTAGTGACCAATGAATAAATACTTATGTGCAGGGTAAGTAACTTTTTGAAAAATGTAATGGTCGAACCAAAGATATAAGCAGGATTTCAGCTGTGACAAAAGAACTTATGGTTCTAGATTAGACGTCTCATGAGATCATGTGCGTACACCGCTGGAAAAACAGGAAAAAGTCATGCAACAATTATCCAGAGAACGTTGACTTCTGACAAATACTAATATGAAATTAGTTAATTGTAACAAAATACCTTAGTTATATATATAAATATAAAATTTGTTTAAATTCGCTGCAATCAGTTCAAAGGTTATAATAACTAATTAAGGGCGTCGGTATTTTACTTCTTTAGGAATATAATGCAGCAACACAGTAAAAAACTATGTCATCATGAATGCCTTTGACGTTACGTAAGATTCACTAAGCTAATTCCAGTTACCCCCAAATCCACATTTAATCAACATACATAAGGCTTTTATTATTTCTCCAAGGTTTTCTCTTTACCACATTTTATTTAGCCAAATGGGTTTATTCCCTTAGTGAAAATAAATCGACTTATATATGAATTTCCATTATTTAACTGATCACTGATTGACTAGATACATATAAAATCCACTTTTACTCACTATCATATCACTAAGCAAAAGAAAAGAGGCATATTTTTGTTGGGTGATAAACAGAATTCAATAAAAAACAACTAGATGAGTGAAATATATTTTTGTAGGCAGAATTTCTCTTTCTTTATCCCACTGGTTGAAAAGATGTTTTCATAAGCAGGAATGAACTGATGACATGTGTAGGTTTATCTAAAACATGATAGTAACAATAATCTGAATGAATCAGTATGTGGTGACTTCAGTGACTCACTGATTCATTTTCGTTGATAATGTAAAGAGGATGAACACATTCGCGATTAAATAAAATTATCACTGCCTAGTATATGATATACCAATTGATGTGCATTAATCAGTTAGGCAAAGGAATCACCTATAAGTTGAACGACTTAGGGGTAAAGTCAATGAGTTTCCAATCGAACGATTCACATTTTTATATTCCCGACCTAACATGAATCTGCTTAATACTCCAGATTTGTGTAGTAGATGATTATTAATAAGTATCAGATTGAAATTCAAAGCTCTCTATGGATTAAATTTAGAAACAAAAGTGTACAACAGTGTTATCTAGCTTTGTCACTGTATTAACACCACGTGCTGAATACACGTATTGGTTGCAGTCTAACGACCAGATATAGCAAATGTATATTGACTCCTCACTAAGGAGTAACCAGTATCATGTGTGCAGACATTAGTGACAAATTGGTCACCAAGGTAGATGGTCACAGTGCACTCTGAATTGATGTCAGGTGATTGGAGCCGACAGATACGGTGCTAAAAGCTTGAGTTTGACGCTTGCTGACACTATTCGTCAACAGCATTATTATTATTGTTTCCTTTAATTCCTACAGGAACATAGGGCTTCAGCCGTGCGTCTCCATTGCGTTCCGTTCTCTGCTAGAGTCTTCACCTGGCTCCAAGTCTGCCCACACGCTTTCATCTCCTCTTCACATGATCTCCTCCAAGTCACACTTGGACGACCAACTCTCCGCTTCCCTTTCGGGTTCCACTCGAGCGATGGCTTGTCTAGTGATGTCACTTGATGGTTTCCTCAGAGTATGACCAATCCATCTCCATTTCTTCCTGCCTATTTGTTTCACAATCGGTTCCTGGTTGGTTCGCTCCCAGAGATCACTTGGACTTAGAATTATGAACATGTTTCACACTATTGCAGTCAGAAGTTCAACTTAGGCGAATAATATTTTGATGTCGTTGTGTTCTCTGAGCTGAATAGTTAATTTGCGAAGCTTTCATTGCCCTACTAGGCAACATCTTCAGAGCACACTATCCAGTTCAGAGAACACAACTACATCAAAATCATCCACCTGAGCTTCAAATCGTCTCCATCATATCCAAACGAATAATATAACCACTAGAAATCCACGTTTCTTAAGTTTAACTTCGAAACAGACTACTACAAATTAAAGTTTCATCAACGGAAGACAAAAACAAACCTTTTTAAACCACTAAGCTTAGTGATTGAATAAATACAAGTATTATAACAACTGTTTAGTCTTCTACGATCTCTGATAGATGATCAAGCTCAACAAATTAGCCAAAATTTAATTCAAAAGAAAGGTTGTATGAATATTATTTTGCCACAGAAGTGATATAATTGAAATAATTAGACATTAATTGATTGAAGGCAACAGAAAGTCATTAGGCATATTGAATATCTCTTTTGATCATACATAGGTGAATTTTCATTACTACGAAGAAAAAAGGTAATCAGAAACATTTACAGCTTTATTACTAAACTTACTTGCTAACTGTCGACATACTGAAGGCTGAGTTAATCTGTCTTTTTCCGGTGAAGTTTTAAAAGATATCCAGATAATATCAGCTATCCAGTTGCCTAGTCGAACAGCGTTAACTCTTAGGAGACGATCATTCCGTTTTGCATTCACAATAGCCAAATCAAATATGTTTCTCTTCATCTGACTATGATAATTGATGTTATAAAAAGTAAAACGCCAGGTTGACCTATGTAATCGAAATTTACATATTCGACGAATACACTTGGCCGCTGATAATGGTTGACCAGCAAATCGACAAAATATTACTGAAATGTTTTGAAAAGAGAAAAACGAATAGGTGAAATGCATAACTTTATAAAGATATTTTAAGTTGTGGTTCGTAGGGATTTGAGTGATATTATTTAGAGAAAAACTGAAAACCGACAGGAGTTGGAAAGCTGCTCCATCTTAGTTTGGAACTGTTTAGAGGCCTTACACCGATTCTCTATTTTCTATTTGTTACTTATCCCTTCTCTGGCCTCGACGTGATATCCGGCTATCGACTAAAGGGCGTATGTACTGCTCAGCAGTCCACTCCACCCTCCTTTACGACTGTGTGTGAGACATGGCGATTGAGAGTAAAGGATATGAAAAGATTGGCTAGCTGTCTTTGATCATAGGTACCTGCGTTCTATCTCCCGTGTGAAATGGTATAATAGGGTGAGCAATATTGAGGTGAGGAATCGGTCGAGTGCTACGTAAGTTGGGAGGGGAAATCAACAGACGAGGCTGTGAAGTTACATCGACTGAGATGGTTAGGGCATGAGTTACGCATGCCTAGCCATCCATCACCTTCCTCGACAATGTGCAATGTTAGTCAGCTGACATAGGGTCAGGTTGGAAAAGAGTCAGCTATTGGTGGTCAAACCAAAACATGGCTCCATCAGTCAATGAAATTCATAAGTTTAAGCTACGTAAGAAAATGCAGACTTCCTGGTTGGGGTCCTCGGGACAGTAAACACTAATGACAGCTGGAGACAATTGGTGATATGGCTCAAAATCGTTCTCAATGGCTGGAACAGATGCATCCACTCCTTGTGACTTATAATACCCAATAGAACTATATTGTCTTTCGATATTACTATTCTTTTTGCCTCATATCTCTATTTGCTGTCTCTATTTTGCATTTCTTTTTACTTTCTTCTTCTTCTTCTCTGGCTTTGTGTGCTGGTTGAAGTGTGGCGACTCGAACCGCTGCACATCTGTGCAACGTCCTATGTTGAAAACAGACAGACGGACAAACTTATAATATATTTCTTGATGAAACAGGGAAGAGAATTATGTTCAGCTTGGATCACAAAACGAAACCAGTTACAAAAGTTGGACAGCTGTTTCGGCCTTCTTTGCAACTTTTCAGTAGTATGTACCAGACAACCTACCCGGAGATCGGATCTAGGATCTTCAGGCTACGTGGTGAGGCCTTTGACTATTCAGCCACTAGAATGGAGTTCACTGATACATGAATTCTGACTTCTAATTCTTTTTATCTCGCGATAGCACTGTAAGTTTGCATTTATGTTTAACATAAATAATTCAAAGTGATGAAATCTGATAACAGTAGTATATTCTAAAAAGTAATTATACAAGAGAATATAACTTAGAAGGTAGAGAAGGAAAAGTAAAAGAAATTCGAAACGGGAAAAAACTAGGGAAAACAAAAAAAGAAGAAAATGATTTAGGGGATAAGTTGATGAAACAAACAGAAAATCCCTGAAGGACATAAGGAAAACACTTCTAAACTAACTACAGCAATATAAATGAGTGTGGGAATATTTGTTCAGTACATTAAGAGTAAAGTGTTACAAACTGGGTAACATTTCTTTGAAATAGTATTGGAGTCCTGTAGAAACAGCTAAGATTTGTCATATATTTCCCAATAAAAAGGTATTCGAGAAAAGAATTTTAAATGCTTTCCTTGTTTAACATCACCTCGGTTAAGCAAAATGATCTTACAAAATAAGTTTATCTGGTTAATGTTGTATGTAACCGTGTTGTGTACTCGAAAATTCAGGATTTACCTCTCGGGGTTTTATAATCAACACAAGCAGACAACTAAACACACAAGTGCGCATAATTAATGTGGACACACTAGTTGGTTACTTCTCTACATGACTTCAACACTAAGGTATGATAACTATTCACAAAAGTTGACTGTTTCGCTTTGGAAGAAACAGACTAACCTAGAATTTAAAACCTTTCTATTTGTAGTTAAAGTTGTTTATCATTCTCAGAAAAAAGTGAAGGACAGAATACATGATTAGCGTATTATATTTACACTAAATAGTGAAAGTTTGTCCAACTTCTTTTTTATTCAAAACACTCTATACGTGTGTATAAAAAAGTGCACCGATGGTTTAATATATGTGTAAAACTTGGGCACTGTGGTAGTAAGTAATTCCATATTAGTTTGTTTATTAGGTATATCACACAGTGAAACAGTATTATTTACTGGATACTGTTTCACTGTGTGATATACCTAATAAACAAACTAATATGGAATGCACCGATGGTTTAGTTGTAGAATGCTCGCAAATCACGCACGTGGTCCGCTTTCGATTCCCGGCCGATATACTCCTAAACTTCTCTCAGCCGATAATAAGCCTAGTAAGCAGGGAAGTTTGGTTGTGAGGCTAGAAACCTCACCCTATAAGAACAAAAATCCTAAAGATACTGAAACTTTAAAGCTTCAAGCCCCACTTTCCACTAGGAACACATGGTCATGAGATAAAATACCTGAGCAGATATACTCATGATTTCCATCACAAATCAAAATGATCTAGGGAACTGTTGAAACATTACGGTCAAACAGTTGTTTCGTTTGTTATCAAGACTCTGCAGCAGTGTTAAATATTAACCTTATACAAGATAAAGTTAAGGTTATTCAAATTTCTAGACGAACGTTTTCTTTTCAAACAATCATTGGATCGACAAAGTTCAACGATGTAGGATTTCATCGATAACATTTTCACTAATAGAATTCATTGGTGTGGATTAGATGTCTCATGAGATCATGTGTACTAACTCTTGGACAAAAAAGGGAAAGACATATCCAGCTCGCTAGAGCACGTCGATTCCTGACATAATAACGTATAGTCAAATATATATATGATTTGTTTTTTTGGAAATCCACGAGCTAATATGGTTGAATTCATTCTCAATTTCTGCTTAAATGACTCTACACAAGGAAGATGAATGTCAGGGGAAAAATGACTCACTGAGTTATTCAGATGTGAAAGGCATTGAATTTACTAATGTTACCTAAACAAATTTCAGTTTTATTCCAGTTTGGAACTCTTATGAAGTTGGCAGCTACTAAACTACCAGCAGTCCAGTTAGGACTAATTAAGTTAAAGTTAAGAGTTAACTAGGTAGTTGGAAATTAATGGGTCATATTTTCCAAATCTTATAAAGCCATCGCTATCCGATATCACCGGCAAGTATCTATTCTCTCACTCAATCACAGTTACAAATTTTCGTCAGAATTTCAGGTAGTTCATTTCAAAGTCAGTATTCACGTTGAAGAATGATGGGGAGGGCAGGAGTAAGAATTCATGAACTATCGAATTCCAGTTCAGTGAACATACTCATTTTATAGCTCGAAGGTCCTAAGCACTGATGGGATGGGAGGTCCCCACCACGGAAAAGCCAAAAACTAAAACTAACAAGCTATACAGTGCTCTCCACTTTTCAATGGTATTTTTAACTATGTCCATTCGTGAGATTCGTAAAGTCACGTGACCGACATGTTTATCACAGATTATGAAGAGGTTTAAATTCAGTCAACAGACATCGATACAAAGCAACAACGACTGTTTAATTGTATTTTCTGAATTTTTAATACTTATTTAACAGGAAAGAAAACTTTAAAATTATGGGTAATCGAAAAAAAAGTTTTTGAAGGGAGGAGAAAGGTATTCACGTTAATTATTTTTTCCCATCTCTTGGCAATAAACAAATACTGTGAAAATAACCAAAATATTATTGTTTTGAAAATCACTGATTGATTTAAAGCAAAATAAAAAATAGTGAAATGCTTTTAACAATTTAATAGGAAATAAGTGGATTTTGTTGCTAAAATTTATTTTTATTGTGAACCGGTTTTGTTTGGACAGTAACATTTCAATGAACTCTAAAATAAAGAGTAAAACTGTTAACTAATGTGAATAGAAAGAAACCTCAAGTCGACAGCCTCCAACCCAGTAGGCTAATGAATGAGGTGAATGGTAATTTCAGCGGATATTCTATCATTTTAGCATTTCATACAGGTATTCTAATGTAGATCTGTTTTTTTTTTATTCCTTTACATTCCCAGGGGAACATAGGGCTTCAAGCTAGAGGCTCGAAGTTTCTGTAGCCATGGTGTTTATTTTTACGGGATGGGCTTGCTACCATCATGCCCCACCTTCCCTCTTTACCGGCCTTACTACTGGCCTGCCGAGTTAAAGGAGTGCGTCGGCCGGAGATCGGACCCAGGACCACCTGCGTGGTCTGCGAGCATTCTACCTCTGTGCCACCGACGCACAGTAGACCTAGTTAGTGATCATAATCTCGACAACGATACTTTGAAGTTGTGTTATGAGACTAGTACTTAATTTTAGTGTCAATGATTAACGTCAGTTTAATGATTGACAATTTTTGAGATAACATTTCTTCGAAAAAATAATTTAGATATTTATTCGTGCTTAGATGCTTTCAGAATGTTTCAAGCAACAGTTAATTGAGAAAGGAATTCACTATACCGTAATTACACAGTTTTCTTTTGGAAACTAACAAACAGGCAGTAGTATGTCATCCACTTGATACCATTAATAATATATAGTCAAGGAAACAAGCACAAGTGCCTGATATTATGTGTTAATGATGAATTACTGACTGAAATGGAAGGTTTTCAGCTACCCACATTAACCTGTTAGTATGTACCATTATGCAACAGTTGACTCAGTCAATTAAAACAGTGCCTAATCTGGATCAGTTTAAAATAACTATACAGTCGTGTTATGTGCTAGACAGTTATTGAAAGGAAATGTCTTAGCAGCATTATAGACACCACAATGTTTAGTGCGACTTCACAATCCACTAAGATAATAACGTAGGCAACGGTAGCAGGTGAATCATTCTTTTCTTTGATTCCCTGACCATTAATTGTTTTTATTTTTAGTTTCAAACAACCATATTCTAAGGAAATGGCTTTACCTGGTTTATGTACACTTCTTGATTTCTTTTCGACTGACTAGTTTTATTCGGCTGAAATCAACATAATTTGAATAGAGGAATTTTCAGCTTATCGCTAGAATGGAAACTTAAGTGATGCCTTTGATTTCAACTAGACGTTATATGATAGGTAGTGGCTAGCACTGACACCTAGAGTACGCGTTTCGCCCTCTTTCGAACTCCTCATCTGGGTGCATGTGAATTATAGTATTCCAGTCCCAACAGGAACATTGCAACATGTAGCGAAACAGACACATATATCTAATGAGTGCTGAATAGGACGAAACACAAGTACTGATCACTGCAAAAATTCACATAAAATCACGCATAAATATCCAGTTATGCTTAGAGTGAATTTGAAAACTAACAAAATAATTAATTGTGGTCAATGTTGTGCGATATGCACTACATGAATACTAAAAATATTATACTGAATATAAAAATATCCTTACATGGATTACTTTTGGGCAGAGTTATTGCTAAATTAGAGTGGACTTCGATTCCAAGCCAACTGACAGGAGTGTCTATGGTGAAAAAGACGTAAAAGAAAACAAATTCATCTGAGTACATTTTATGTTAAGAAATGTGAAAAAAGTAACTGAAATTATTCTTTGACCTCTGACTTTTGTGCTAACAAAAAACAAACAATTCAGTACTCAACTAACTACCACTCCTGGTGAAATTGTATTAGAAACTAAAGTACTTTTTTGTTGCATTCAAATAGTCCCCTTTTCATCGAAAGCAAACTTCATGTAGGTACTTTCTACTCTGATTTCGTTGATCAAAACGTTTTGTTTCGATAAAGATACAAAGACCGAATTTGCAGTATAAAATGATATCATTCTATTTCACTGGTTCTCATCAGCTGCACGTCTCTACCTGAAATTACAATGGTTATAAATAATGACAATAACATACTTCAATGTTTGAATAGTAGTAAAGAAAACACTATAAAATTAACGCATCCAAAATATAAGCACTACAATTTTTGTTTAAATTGCCATCAATCTGTATGCTCTCAGAGTAGAAAAGGAGATTGGGGAGGGATGGAACACAGGGAAATCTAATAAACAGTGTTAGCTTGTAAGTTCATATAGCAACTCAAGAGGTCAATAGTTCATAAGATTTAAAAACCTACTCTGTAAGCTAACGTCACTAATATGGATGATTAACCCATGCAATCAAAATACAGTTACCAAGGGACTGAGAGATTGATTGCCTTCCCTTTCTATATGCATAAGTTTGGTTTGTAACGCTTGATTGCGATTACTTTAGCAGTTAAACATTTCAAACACATTGAAGTAGGTTATTTTCATTATTTATAACCACCGTAACTTCAGATAGTTTGCAGCTGATGAGAAACTGTGAAGTAGAATGACAACCACATTTTATACTGTAAATGTGGTCTTTATTTCTTTTTACGAGTTGATCACGGATTGGTATCAGTTAGAGAACCATTGAAAACCAGGGAATACCGGACAGCTGCTGTTTCATCCTAGTTTGGGAATCATCGGCGGTACGCACCCACTGGGATTCGAACCCAGGACCTTCCGGTTACAAGGCAATCTCGTAAACAATTCAGCCAATAGGACCTGATTCAATGGCTCATGAATTCTAACTTCTACCAATTCGTGATTTAGGGCGACCCCAATGGAAACAAGTGTATCAGAAAATGCTTTGTCTTTCGTAAGTGACAATTATGCCAACGTCAACTACATCATTTATGGATAATTGAAATAAGCTAAATTTTTACTGAAACCTGCGCTGAAGCGATGCTGTCTACAAGGATGACAAAAGCTTCGTAATTAAATCAGCCAGCTCAAAGAACACAACTGGTGGATCGAAATCATCCACCTGTGCTACAAATCTTCTCCGTGTTTAGCTATTTTTCATGCCTAATATTTTAAAAAATTAATAAATGTAGGGATCTGTTGATTGTTTTCTTGTGCAGTAAGTAATACAAACCAATTAATTCCTTAGATAATTAAGGGTCTGCAAAAACAATTAGCTTTAACACATTTGCCTTAGATGCATAACTTTGCTAATTCACTTTATGTTATTACTTATATTCTTTTGATTTGTGTTAAAAGCATTACCTTGTTAATTTTTCTATTATTCTGTTTCATTTTTAAGAAAACATGTAGCTCAATTTCTCTTGTGAATTCTTTTACCTTAAAAAATATTTGTTAAATATAACTAAAATATGAAGGGAAAATGTCTAAGTATTTATTAAACGTTAGATAAATTGACTTCGTCATCACTAGTGCCATTTAAAATTTTATCAGCTTGCTTCAAGTGATCTAATGATCAAAATAAGGTTTCTCTGTAAACAAGAAAGCAATAGGTAGGCAAATTATTATTCGAAGACTTAAGTAGATATTTTGAAAGGATTGAAAACTCCTTTAGAGAACTAACTTGCATTTAAATAGTAATAATAATTCTATCGAACACATGGACAGCTGTGAATGAAAGTGGTATCTGACTTAATCACCTTTGTGGCACAAATTCGCTTTCACAGCAAAATCGATTGTTGTTACAGCTGCTGATACATCTGACAGATGGATGTACCAGTTATCTTCCATTCAGTACCTCGTATGCTGTATGTTCGTGTGATAGTATTATAAGGCTAATTAATAAAATACGATTTACAGTGTTTATTATTAATGTAACAGTAGACTGTGTGGACTGTGGTAGCTTATGACTCTGAAGTAAAGATAAGCTTATTTCATATAAGACACAGTGATACAGTATGAAGAACTTAATGAAAGTTCAAGAACAATGTACTATTCATAATCATAGCATTGTGTTTACCATACTTAGACTTATGTGTATAAAAAATACAATATTCAGCGAAGAGACTCTTTTCAACGAATTTATTATCAAGCTGTACAATCGTATGTATATGGTTTTTAAGAAGTTATACCTGGTGAGGGAATTAGGTCAAAGGTGTGAATACATGATATAATAATAGTATGAAATGCAATTGAAATATTTGTGATTATAATCATAGTTAAGTGTCAAGTGGCAAAATAATTAATGTCATATTTAGAATAATACATAGGGTGTATAGATTTTGGAAAGGGGTGCATAATTATAGGATTAGTAGACGAATATAAAATGTTACATAACATGGTGTGAAATTTGATAAGACAGAATTCATGTGCATCTATCAGTTCACCTGCTCTTGTGGAGCAAGGTACATTGGCCGTAGTCAGAGGACGCTTTCCATACAGATACGAGAACATATTCCAGCATGGTTTTATAAGGGAAAAAGGAAGTGTGTGCGAGGCTCTATTCTGGAACACCTGATTAACTTCTGCCACTCTGTTAACTCTGACCATGATTACAAGATAATATATGGAATCCATGCTCACTTTCCGCGTTTGCTTCGTTACAGACTTCTAAAGACTGCTGAGGCCTTGGCAATTAATGACTTTAAGCCAGACCTTTGTGTACAAAAGAAGTATGTACAATCCCTACTTCTGCCTTGGCCGTAGAAGGATAGACATTTATTTATTTTGTTTATTTAACTGTTCTATGTACTTTTCTCTTATTACTACGATTATTATTATTATTACTACTCTCACTCTGAATCTTTTCCACTTGACATTTTAAACCCAAAATTATTCATTTTTATATTTTTATTTTTACAATATTGAACTTTATCTTATCAAATCTCACACCATGTTATGTAACATTTTATATTCGTCTACTGATCTTATAATTATGTATCCCTTTCCAAAATCTATACACCTTATGTATTATTCTATATATGACATTAATTATTTTGCCACTTGATATTAAACTATGATTATAATCACAAATATTTTAATTGCATTTCATACTATTATTATTTCATGTATTCACACCTTTGAACTAATTCCCTCACCGGATATAACTTCTTAAAAACCATATATATACGATTGTACAGCTTGATAATAAATTCGTTGAAGAGAGTCTCTTCGCTGAATATTGTGTTCCTAATGCTAAAATGGGAATTATTAAATTATGTGTATAAAATTAAAACCATAATCAAAATTTGTCAAGCTATCAACCCTTTATATTAGCAAAAGAAAGACGGAAACTATTTAGATTCTGCTCTCTATTCAATTCGGCTGTTATTATAAAATACATTACTTCTAAACAGATTAAGAGAAAGGACTTTTATACTCTACAGATAAGATTCTACCACTGAAAGAAATGCAAGATATCTCCCTTCTTTGTATAACTATGCAATGCTCTTTTAAGGAAACACACATTAAGAAAACAGAGAAAAGCATAGTAAAAATAGGGTCGACTTTACACCACACATATATATTTGTGCTTTCTGTTTGTCGGTGAGAAATGAAAACAAATGAATGAATGGTTAAGTCAGAAGGAATGCAGAGAAAAAGTCAATTCGACATAAATACAGAAATCTTACTTGAGTTATGTAAATTATCCTGTGATTTCTTTTCATTGCTATATAATTCATAAGATTTGAGCCCTGTACAAAATACATATGAATTAAATATTAATTAGATATACAGTTGACAGCGGATAAACAGACAGTTAGCTTTACTACTTATGATGGTTACAGTAAAGACAGAGAATGAATTTTGCTGAAAATGAGATAACATATCTAAATGACGGCTTCGTATGTATTCGATGCAAGCTATTGGTGGATTCTTACTGTACACTACTGAATATACTGAAATCAGAGCATAACACCTATCCAGTACTCCTTAGGTTTTAGTGAGTAATGTCAATTCATAACGAAAGGTGAATTTTGTAAGAAACTGGAAGTAATCTGCCGAACCAATAGAAACTAAGGATCAATAAACGACCCAGTACATGAAATGAAACGTACGTACACTGTGTGACAATATCATTATTTTTGCAACCTTTGACAATTCCGGATAAAAAATAATCAAAAGGCAGCAACATAAAATTATTTGTCCACTTACCGCTTTGTAATGCCGATAATAAATTTTGCAGATCATTTTTAGAAGTTGAAATGCATAAATAGTCATCTAAATACCGAAAGAAAGCTGTACATTTTTTCAGACCATAATTATTTGTTTCAAACACAGGATTTCGCAGTGATTTATACGGAGACCAAAGAAGTTGTTTAGTGTACAGCTCTCTGTCCAGTCGAGATAAATATATATTTGCTAAATCTGATGAGATACAAGAGCCCTGTGGGATACCTTTCACAAAGGAATATAGATTTCCATCAATCTATGTAGAAAAACAAAAACTAAGTGTCAGTTATAAGTATCTGTATTTATTCAAAAAAAAAGAATCAATTAATCTTAACAACAACAGCAAGACATCATTCTAATTTGGGTGACAAAAAATGAATGTCGGACTATGCAAACCAGTCGTAGCCGACGGCTTCTAAATGAAGGTGAAGTTGCATTGTGGTACCATTTAAATCAACCCGGGAACCTTCAGATAACCTACTCATTCATTTACTGACTAAGCTGCTAACCAGATGCTGTTTCACACTAATCATATAGAGGTTCTCAGCTATTTCATGAATAAGTGATGTATGACTGTGATTGGGATTGGGGGGGGGGGAGATCTGGCTGATCAGCTAGTATAACAATGAACAGACAGTTACGTACTGTTTATTCACCTGACACCTAGGCGAAACCGTCTGACACTGAAGCAAAATAAGTACGTAGTTATTACTTAGGTATCATTGGCTCAGAAGATCTGGAGTTTGCCAGTTCAAATTGTGTCACAACTTAAGCTTTTACTATATCTGGTTTTGAAAGTTATGCTGGTCTTCAAAAATGAATGAATATTTCATAGTACGTCAGTGGTTCAGGGGTAGAATACTTGTCTACCAAGCGCGTGGTCCGGGTTCGATTGCCAACCGACGCACTCCTGCAGCTCGCCTAGCTGACAGTATGTCTGGAAAATAGGGAGGCCGGTTGGGTGTGAGGCTAGCAACCCCACCTCGTGAAAGCCAAAATGCTACTCAAAACCTCGAAGCTTAAGCCTTGAAGCCCTATATTATACAATGGGAAAGCAAAGGAATGAAATGAAAATTCTACTTCATAACTAACAGATGATTATTTTCTACCCAAAATGACACATTCATGTGTTTGCGAAGTAATAGTTTCCTTAAAAGTTAACCTGATAGAGAACATGTTTGTAAATATATTTTTTCAAATGCTTGTTAAGCGTGGAAGGAAACGCTAACACTAATCCCCACTTCAATTTATCCTAACCATGCAAACAGTAGCAAGAGACGGTATGCATTAACTGTCTGATTACTTTACAACAACTCTTTTCGTTTACGGGACAAAAGGGATTTAGCTTGTATGCCGAAGATTGATTTACTTTATTTCTACTTCCTATGTTTCTTTCCTATAGTAATGTGTGTATTTCCTAAAGAATTAGTTTATTGGATAGAAAACACAATTGTTACTTAGTTTATTTACATTTCAAATAAAATTTATTTTACTAGAGATATATCAAAGGTGAATTCAAAACAATAAAATTAGGTCACAGTATCCAAGTTCTATTCTACTGCTTTTTTAGTGTACTCCTATTTCTAATTGTATTCTTGTAGCATTGTTATGATATGTAAGCACAACAGATTATAATTAAGTGACTTATTTATCCAGTACACGTCTTCTTATGCATTATGATATGAGCCGCAATTTGAATCTGTTAGTTGTTTAGGCTGAACTATGACATTTGGAAACTGTTTTACGGATCCACTTGCTGTGAGGCAAGTTCCTAATTTAATGAGTCACAAGTTCACTGTTTGATAATTCTACTCAATAAATTTCTCATTCAGTAAGAAGTCATTAAGGGAGGAAAACCACTGTAGTCGGAAATACTGTTTACAAACATTTGAAGTATAATTTCTGAAAAGTCGGTAGTGGAAATTAATCTTTGATCTGATTGGTTAATACAACAAACACTGGAAACTAACATTAAAATTATATATATATATATATATATATATATATATACATCATCAATAAAACCAAAAAGTTATGGTGGTACGTGAACATCGTAACATACAGACATGGTAGACTCTTTCAAAAACCATTCCAATTCACGTTTAAGGAATTGTACATCTGGTTTGGGATACATATAATAGCTAACCTTGAAGTGTAAAAAGAAGAAGACATAGAAAGTGGTAATTATGTATTAAAATGCAATTATAATATGAGATAATACATACATTTTTCCCCGTAAGCCTGGATTATACAAAATTCCAATCAGCGGGTAACAAAATATCACTTCAGTGGTCTAACGAATGAAATAATAATGATTTCTGACTATTAGCCGATTTTTAATATCTTTGGAACCGGAGAAGTGTTTTTTTTTCAAATGAATTAGATACCGGTGCGATCGTTTATTTATAATTCTGTTGATCAAGTGCACAGTGTAGTTGCAAAGCTGCGTGTTAAAACACTCATATACAGTGGCATATAGACGGACAGGCTGGTGAACACTTTGTTCCGGTGTTGAGTGTTAAACCAATAGCTGTTCCTGAACCTAGGTTTTAGGTTATTGGCATCCAGTAACAAGACTTACTCAAATCATCATTGAGGAAACTTACCAGGGCTTCTTGGGAATTACCTTCAACCATCTAGCATCAACTGAATGTGTTTTCTTAGCTTGGTGAGTCCATTGGAAACTTGAATGATAGAATTCAGTCACCATTATAATTAACGTCTAGAAATACATGAGATGGGTTATACTCAAGTGATTTATCAATGTAAGCGCATGTTCATTTTGAGATTCCCAGAAGACTTATATGCTTCAAGTTATTTAGTTCATTGTTCAACCATTATTCTGATGAAGTAGAAGCACACAAATTAAATTCTAATTAAATGCACGGACATCGTCGAAGCATCTGCACAAGAAGCCGACATGTCAACCTGAGATCGAGCATTTCGGTCAAATCAATCGACGGGAAAATCTAAAATTCAATTAAATGAATATGACCCGTTGCACAAGAGGTGGCTCTCGTGGTCCAAGTGGTCTAGTGGATAACGCTTGGGGTTTGAAACTAAGGACACTGGGTTCGAGCCTCGGTGGGAACATCACCACTCACTGGGAAATGCAGGTACATCCAGATGACGAGTCCCAAATAGGACGAAATCTTCATCCTGGATTCCACTACCAGTCACCATCCACAAATTAAAGCGCTCTAGATATCTATTATTTTGAAACATTTTTTGGATATATATTCCAATAAACCAATAACTGAGGCGTTAAAATATTAGCAACATGTCAGTCACATCTTTTATTTACTTGGTGTTTACATCAGACAAACACACACACACACACAAACCGGGTACAACTTTACACTTAAACTCACGAAAATTAAAGCTAGTGTACTCATAGTCAATTAGAAGGCTGGTGTGAAATTGACTAGTTCCACAACAATATTCTTCATCATCACTGGATATTACCTACTGACGAGCCTAAAATGAGAAGGAGTATTTAAATCTACAATGAAGACTAGCATCACAATTCGTTCTCAACTAACCCTTTATTTAAAAGTTTTTTTTTCACTTGTTTAAATAACAAAAAGCGGTATTATAGCGTGCCACTTACTTCATCGAAAACATTGGAACATATTTCTAATAACCTTGAGTGGACAATCTGATTGAAACAATCTTGAATATCAACCTTAGCAATCCAGAATCTAAAAGAATAAATTACAAGTAATATAGAAAAAAGCATTATTACACATGCATGAATTAAAAATATTTCATAATGAAGTTAACCAACTAATTTAATAAGAGAAGACTGAATTCTAGGGTTAACATGTGTATCAAAGATTTCACGTGTTTCTGTTGACAGCATGGAATAAGAAGAAAAAAAAGAACACGAGAAATATGTTCACAATCGTGTCAAAGCTTTTGAAATTATATGAAATTAATATGCAAAACGAATATATATATATATATATATATTTGCAGTGACGTAAATGGTAAATTGTCCACGAGTTGGGACTGAGGTCTTCAAATGTGAGTAACTGGTTAAATAGTGAATTTTCTTTACATGTAAATCAGCCGTATATATACCAATCAAAGCAGATACTCATAACCTTTGGTAAGATTATCAAACCGACAGTGTTTTCTTCTTTTTGAGACATAACTGACGGGGGGACATTGTATTATTCATCTTATGGATGAATTTATTGTTGGTATAAAATGCGACACTGAGATATTAGTTTTTTTCAACAATAAGTAGATTACAGACAATCAAAACACATTTCACTCAATAGAACTGATAAGACAGATCAGTCACAACCATACACTGACTGATCTAGATAAAATCGTTAAACAATGAACACAGTGAAAAGCTAAACATTTGAAAATCAGTCACACAAATAAGCAAGGCAAAGAGGAAGTCACAGTCGCTTAGATGGAATGAATTTATATAAATACGCATAAGAGAAAATCAAATTTTTTCGACTTTCTTCTAAATTAAACTGAAAATGTTCAAATGAACTGTCGTCAAGATTTGATAGAATAGTTCTAAAATATTTGGGCGCCAAGTGAGAAGTAGACATTTGTAAAAAATTATATTTGTAAAATCTCAGCGAGATTGAAATTTTGATCACAGCTCATAAAATTTTGTCTATTATGCTTGTTGAATGACTCATGATTGGACAAAGTTTTAAAAACAAGTGATGTTCCTTTTATATATAAACCTCTGTTATGTTAATTTCGATTAATTTCCCTGAAGAAGTTCGGACCAGATTGCCGAACGAAACGTTGGAATTACTCATTTCAATCTCGATGAGATTTTACAAATATAATTTTTTACAAACTGAAAATGTTTTCTATAGTCGCATAAAAAGCCTGATTTCCTTTAAAATCATCTGGTTGTCAATACCTGCTTTAAATCAGTTTCAAAAGTTGTAGTGAAAGAAGACTAATGTTTACGTGCTAAGTAAAAGTTGAATGTGTTTGTAGGTCAGTATATATCCCAAATTAAAAACAAGTAAATGCTTTGGGAAAGGGGCTTCATTAAAGCGATACTTTGATGTCAGCCACTAGAAAATAAATAATATCCAGACAGTAATTCACAAAAAGTGTAACATTATATGATTTTCGAAGGTCTTTGTATGTTTTATCACCCTTCAAAATAAATATTATTTAACTATTCTACTCTTGTAGTGAAGTACTCGTTAACAAAGTGGTTAAGCGATTATTTCAAGTAGGTGTAATAAAAAAGCAAGTAAAATGTTATTCTTTTGGTATTGTTTATTAAAAGCATTGAATATTATAAGATAGAGACGAACTAGTTCGGTCTGTCTTATGGAGCTGTGGTTTACCATTGAGTAGTAGATACTCAACTAGTCGACTGCAAGTCTCAACCATAACTGACCAGTCAAAGATTGAGCAGATGTACAGTAATAGAATGCATCTCGGCACAAATATATATATATATAAATGATTACCTGCCACTGTTATTATTACTGAGTTGGGAGAAGACAAGAGACTTGGTAAGGGACTTTTTTATCCAGGAAAAACACACCATATCTAGACGCATTTAAGGTCCTCTAGGTCAGTGGATAACAAACTGCTCTGACTGGTTGTTGATTTTCTGAAGGCTAAACCTTGAGACGAGCAGTTGTCCAATGAGATTATTATTTCCTGGCCACGACGTAAGCTAAATGCATATTCGAGAAATAAACAGTTCTACTTCTGTAGCCGTTGAATTAAAATGTTGTTTTCAATTTTGGCTACTTCCTATGAGTCTACGACTATGTACTACTGATAACTGTTGTCAATATCACATGCCACAATACTACACGACCACACACGCATGCGTAATGTTGCATTTAAGTCAGTTAACTGTGTTATGTTAGCATCGTATTACATGAATAATATTCATTTATCAGTTTACTTACTTATTCATTGATATTTTGTATGCTCATTAGGTTAAGTTGAAAAAAAACAACAACCCAGTAAGCATCATTTCATTATCTTTCATGCGTAATTATTTAGGTTGTTTTTATATCTGTAATTATCTGTCCATGAATTCCATTTTGAAAAGATGCAATTTTTTAGTTTTTACTTAACATGTAGGTCAAAAATGTAGGTGAAATTATAGACCATGCATATAAGCTAATTCATAGGAGAGAGAGATGAGAAAAGACGGTACTGATTCATATCATTCAGAGTTAATTAGATAAATATTTTATAGAGTAAACAAATGTCCCTTGATCAACAAATTGATGAGAATTTGCTTAACATGCTCCGAATCATCTTGTAGTCTGATGGTAGGTGAATTAGAATTAGGTTACAGAAAAAAAACGACGAAAGTATCACTAGTCTTAGTTGAAGTTTTGTAAATGTCAAGGACTGGTGGTAAAGGACTACCAGTGAAGGGAAGTGTGCTGTTTAAACTCCGCCACCGGAGCAGATCACATATGCTACAGGTTGAACCACTCGTATTTTGTGATGGCTGTGTGACTACACAGTTGTTCAAACTGAGATAAGCAGAGCTGGGTTCAAACTTGAGACCCATTGACTGGAAGTCGAGATCTTAACGCCAATCAAGTAAGTCTCCGTCGGCTTGATCATTTTAGTAACTGTTACTTGTTTGAACATCGTCCTAATATGTACAGAGTTGTGACATTACTCTGTCGATTCCGCTTCTGCTTTTTTGTTGTATTACGAAAAACGTTTTTTCGAAGTCTGAAGTCATCCTATCGGTCTTCAAGATTATTTATTTTCTCAGTCAGTTTTCCTCTCCTCATGTTTACACTGGGGCTTTGTCCATATTTTCCTCCAAATTTCTATGTCCGGAAATGAGAATTTCTCTATTCAGATTACAGAGATTTGGGATGAAAAAGTTAGCTGACTGCAGTATGAGAAAGAAAACCTATTATTAATTCAACCCTATTCTACAGCGAATTCGCCAAAACTGATCAAACACAGATAAACAAAATTATAACACGTCTATATATAAACAGCTAAAATATTTCAAATGTAACTTTTCAAATATCTAACATTCGCTTAAGACAGAGGTGATCAAATATAAGAGAAGAAGTCCCCAGTGGGTACTTTTTCACCGAATTTCAAACTAACCCAAGGATGGTAGTTATGGTGTGACTGAAATTGGTTATCCTAAAAGTGCTAGTTTGGAACAACATCATTTCCACCGATAGCAACCATATTTAAAGCTACTTTGATAAAGCTGTTGGCACCATTAAATAGAGCAGCTTTTATAATAATGAATATCATATAGTCAATGCCCAAATTTTTTCAAACTGTTAAAAGTGAACTTGGTTTGGTTTCTTTTCCTTCAAGCCTTCAAGATTTTTCTTTATTACCGTGTAAATTTAGTCACGAAGCAACATCAATTAAATAATTACCGATAGCCATTATTTCATTATGTTTCATGAGTAATTATTTAGTTTGTTTTCTATGTCTGCAATTATCTATGAAAATATTGATATATCAGTGTTCCCTGGATTTCAGGGATTCTTTGGCTGATGTGACAAATTCTACACTAGAATTAATCCAAATCACTACAAAACCCAAATTATGAATATTTTTGTATCTCTATAATATGTTTATTTTGTTTTGCGGTACATAGTATTTTCCATCCATTTTGCAGTCACTTTTTTTTTCCAACAATATGCCGATAATCAGTTAATTTTCCCATTACAGCTGATCCGGCCTTAATTTCCATAACTTTTAGAACAATATGATAAAAGTAAACTTGGATAGAACTCATAAAATTATGCCTTACAACATACTTCCAATTCAATACTCAAATATATATGAACACATAAAAGGAACACCAATGGGATCGCCCATATCAGGATTAATAACTGAAGCCATCATGCGAAGATTAGAGTTAATAGCTCTACCTATAATTAAACCGAAAATCTGGGTACGTTACGTTGATGATACATTTGTAATAATTAAGAGAAATGATTTAGAATATACCCATAAATTAATAAACAACATATTTGAAGACATCAAATTCACAAGAGAAGAAGAATTAGATAACAAAATCCCATTTTTAGATGTCTTAATCAGGAGAACCAACACAGGAGATTTAGAAACACAAGTATATAGAAAATCAACGCACACAGATCAAATACTCAACTATACTAGCAATAATCCAATTACTCACAAACGAAACTGTGTGTAGACATTGTTTAAAAGAGTTCAAACACATTGTAGCACTCCAGAGTTGAAAAGAATGGAAGAAAAATACCTACAAACGGTCTTCAAAAAGAATGGTTATCCACAAAATTTCATCAAAAAGTGTTTAAAGTCGAATCAAAACACCAACAAAGAACCATCATCAAAGACCACAAGAAAATTCATTCTACCATACATGAGAAATATCTCTGAAATAACAGCTAGAATACTGAAACCGTTTGATATAGATATAGCACACAAGCCAGTCAAATCGCTTAATTCGATATTATGCAAACCGAAAGATCCAACAGAAAAAGGAGATAAAATTAATACCATTTACAAAATAAATTGTATGAACTGTAACAAGCATTACATCGGCCAAAGTGGGCGTCCCCTTCGAATTAGAATCCAAGAACACAAATCAGCCGTGAAAAGACACGATATATATTCTTTAGTATCAATGCATATAGACAATTATGGTCATCAATTTGATTGGGATAATGTCAAAATCTTAGACAGAGGAAACATCAAAAGTGCCAGGGAATTCCTAGAAGCCTGGTACTCAAACGAAAATGCAATTAACAAACACGTTAATATAGACGAAATATACCAACTAATAAAAAGTAAATCAGGTGACCAGAAAGTTTAAAATCCAAGTCAATAGAAAATGGTCAATACATATGTAAAGATGGTTACCGGGAGACGCAATTATATCACTCATGAAGAAATTTAAATCATTTCACTTTATGCTAAATATTGCGCTGAAGATGTTGTCCAGAAGGACGACGAAAGCTCCGCAACTAAACCAACCAGCCCAGAGAACACCGTTAATTGCAAAAGTGTATTCGTCCGTTGTTTCTTCAGTACTTATATTTTAGTACTGTTAAGATTATAGGTAGTTGATACACATCCATGAGAAACTATGAAACGAATAGTACATCTTATCCTGATACACTTGTTTTATTTTTATACAGTTTAAATCTATGCGAAGGAAGATGATCTTACCGACGAAATCCAACTGAATAGGCGAACGAACGAAAGGATAGTAAAGCGGTGAATGCAGATTTTGTTGACAATAAAGATGGTGCATAAATATTTGGAAACTGTAATTTAAAAAAATTAAAAGTAGGATAAAATTAATTTGAATCGAAAGGATTTCAAGCTATGAACTATAACGTTTAACAGCAAAAAGATAGTTGGGTTGAGTACAAATAACACACTACGTGCAATTATTTCATTGCCTAAGTAGCTCTCAAGTCAAACTCTTTATTTTTTTGTTCGATGTCTCGTTAGCTTAGACATCGGCTGGCTCAAAGGTCTGCTGGATGAATGAAGCCTTAGTTATGGCTTGGCATTCGAAAACTCATGGTGGTATCAAGACCCGTGGTAAATTGATGTATGTTTTATACTGAGAGAAGTATCTTGAAACATATGGATATTACATTCCGAGGAAAAAACATTTTGCAAAAGAGAAGACGTTCAGCGAAGAGACTCTTTTCGGCGAATTCATTCACATAGCTGTACAATCGCATTTATATATAATTATTTTGTGTGTGCGTACATGAGGTTTGTCAAGTTTAGATAATTAATTAGGTAATACAAGAATGATCTAATATAGAAACAAGGTTAATTAGACAGCAACTAAAGTAAAATTGAGTTATTAAGTTAGATGACATAATATAAAATGTTTCAACTTAATTCAGGATAGCAGCAGAGGTAATTACAGGTAGAGACTAAGTAGGGGTGGGGTAGAGAATAATGCCATTTAAATTAGGACTAAAGTTGAGCAGATAAACTGGAAGACGTAACATAAATTACTAGAAATTGAGTGTTGGTCAAGTCAGTAACAGTGGCAATGAAGTGTAGAAATTGAATCGGGTGGGGGTAGAGAACAGGAATTTGAAAATGTAAAATATTACAACTGAAATGACATGAAAATACTAATGAAGAAACAGAAAGAAATAGAATTGACCTATCGTGTACTAAAATAGATTACGTCCATTGAAAGTGTAGTGATTGAACGAACTTCTTCTGTATGCTTCCGAAGTCTGAAGAAGTTGGATTCGTACACTTTTAGGAGGACTGCTTCGTATTCTGTAGACGACTTTGAAGTTTGTTTGGGGTGTAGCTTGATGTCCGGAGTCTACCAGATGTTCTAAGATAGAGCTGCATGGGGGCATCGATTTTCTCCTTTGTAAAACTGTGCTGGTAAGTGTTCGGTGATACGTTTGGAAAGCAAACGATGGGTACGGCAGATATACCTGACTCCACACGAGCACGTGAAGTTTTAGCACAATCTGGAACCAACTCGAGACAGGTCTTCATTGAGAGATACCAATATTCACTATGGTGTTTATGGTGTGAATTTTGTGTCGGCTTTTTTCTTTTTCTTTCCATGGCTGACTGACTACAACAGTTAGCACGTGGTGCACATAAACATGGAAAAGACGCGTACACATTGGAACGAATTAACTGAAAAGAGCCTCTTATCGCTAAATCACTTGCTCTTCGGTATTTATGCATAAATGACTTACAATAGTCCATTTAAAAGGAAACAAACCACTTTGTTTTATGAAAGTATGTTAATAATAATAATAGGCGAAGGGTGACATTGTAATATGAAGATAACTCACTTCAGTTTGCAGTTGTTTAAATACATCGAATAAACCATTTTGAAGCTTCAGACGTTGATTAAGACTTAAGCAATTCACTGTTGACTGGCAATTCTTTAAATTAATGGCTTTATTAGTTGGTAACTGATAACTAGCATTAGTAACTAGACGAAAAATATTCCCAGAAGATTTCATTGATAAACGACCAACACTATGAGTTATTGAATATCTTTTACCAGTATATTCATGTAAGTGAATTGAAGATACTGATGTGGCAGAATTATTTACAACCTGAATGACACCATCTTTAACTAATTCTGCGTTGAAAAAAACAACAACAGTGTATAAGGAGACGATAGATGCAGATTATCAACACACAGAACATGATGATGTTACACCAAATGTCTGCAAATCAATATGAGGAGTTAAAAAAAATAGGAAGAGAAACAAATAAAGAAAAAGACCACAGTCTGATATTATTATTAAACCTATAGAGAGAGGAAGAAGGAAAGGTAAGGCAATTAGAAATGAGTAAATATGAATAGGGTGGTTTCTAAATCATGATACATAAAGCCCTCAGCCATCAGTTCTGTTCCTCAAGCTTGAGCTATGAAGTCTCAATAGTAGTAGTGGTGTTATTTGTTTTTACAGGGTGAGGTTGCTAGTCTCCCGCCCAACCTCCCCTCTTTACCACCAGGCTTACTGAAGGCTAAGAGAGGTTTAGAAGTGTGTCGGCTAGCGATTGAACGCCGGACTACATTTGTGGTTGGTGAGCATTCTACCACTGAAAAACTGACATTACCGATTCCGAATACTTGTTGGTATTCGCTTGTAAATTCTTGAGTTTATGTGACAAATGCTAAAACCGCAAATATTCCAATGAAAATAAACAGATAACTGTTCATTTTAAAAAGTGCATGTTTGCGTGAATGCGTGTATAGGCGTTGAGTCAGTCAAATTAGAGAGCGCTTAATTAGTAGATAAGGACAACCAACATGCAGTTTGCAATACTCAGCAAGAGAGTGCGAAAATACAAAATGAATTTTTCGGCTATTTTGGAATGAATTTCCAAGGTGAAGAAGTTTACAAATAGGTGTCCTACGAAGTTGAAATAATCACACAACTAACAAGTTCATAGGCATGAATAGCGAGCGCAGTGCGAACAGGTTTTGCAGGTTAAGGCAGATTCATTTTATCTTCTAAGGAATTCATCAACTGCATACAACCTAAATGGTGAAACACATAATGAATAATTGTGAACCATTTTTAACACAGTCTAACTGAATAGTCGGTTCATTTTATAGGAGTATGATAAGTTTGTGAATTCACAATTCAATTCGAAGTGGCCGCGAAGTGGTTCATCCAACACCACCACCTTAGAGCATTTTATCATTTCCAAATATATACAGCCGGCAAAAATCCCTATGCAATTAATTATCACCAAAAGCTATACTCATTTCGTTATGCAATTTTATCAGGGCGACTAGTTGCATAAGATCTTGAGAAAAATGAAAAAAAAATATTTCATACCTACCATTTACGAAACTTTTACTAATTGTCCTCCATTTATCACGCACAAAATAAGCAACTGTAGGCACTGTAGCATTAAATTCACACCAGCAGAAATATCTCTGAACAAAGATGGTGTATTAGAGAGGGAAAATATTGATGAACACTAACTTTAAGGTAAAAAACAACGATGCCAGACAATAAAGTATGCACAAGGGCATAGATATATGGCCTCCATATTGTCGCCTTTTCCTTAGGCACCTGAAATGAGAGAAGAAATACAATTTCAGCTTAGCATTTATCAACAAAACGTATATTACTGATTTATGGGTAATAAAAAGAGAAAAAACTAATTTTAACTTTCAGTCAGATTAATAACTATTATTGTGTCAGACAAGTTCGCAACAGCAGTAGGCATATTTGCTTATTACAATGACTTTTTTCGATTAACACACCGGAAGTAGTTAACTATCATCGTCCATAACCACTATGTATCAACACCGATTATGTGGTAGCCAGATTGTAAAAAAAAAACCGTTCAGCCCACGAGGAATAACTACTAAACAAACTGACGAAAGATGTATATCTGGTGGTTTTACAATAAATTTAACAAAGATTCATTCTTCATCTAAGAAGTATTCAGAAGTATGTGGGAACTATTATTAAGAATATATCAACATATGAAGCAATTGACATCATTGTCTTTTAGTGAAGATGCCATGAAAATACCTCGGACGACAGTAATGAGTTAAGACAACTGAAATTCACCGGGGAACAGCAACTCACTTAGAACTACAGACAAACCTTACTCAGTGGTAAAAACGGTCATTACTGATACAAACTTAAAATTAATCACGACAAAAGTTGTCAGGAGATACAGTTGTTATCATTGATGGATAATTCAAATAGGTTCACTTCATACTAAGGCTTGCGTTGAATATGTTGTCTAGTAGGACACTGAAACCTTAGCAATTGAATCATTCAACTCAGAGAACGCATCCAGATCAACAGTGATGTGTTTTATTTTATGCTAAATTCTAATTTAGGTGTTATCATGAATTCATTCGACTCATCACTCGTTCAAATAGAATTCGAAATCACAGTCATCAATGTTACTTACTGTGCATGGGACAGAGTTTGTAATTTAATTTTGGCAAAGAACACTTCTACAAACTACTGAACTATTTTACAAACTTATACTATTTACTCGCTCTCAGCTTAGTAGTATGTGTCAGTCTATTTAAATATCCAATAAAAACTGATGTAGAAAACAAGATTTCATCAATCATCAAAGCTGATATAAAAGGTTTATAATATTGTAGCGTGTGTGACTGATAAAAACTGAAACTTAATACTGGGGATCAGGAATAGATTAAAAGGATACCATAAGTATTGGCATTTATCCTATATGAGTGTCGTATGTAGGTAAGTTTCTTAACCATATTCCGATTTAATCACTTGACCACGTTTCGGTATTGTGAAAATTATACACACGACGACTAAAAATTTGTATTTCCCACTTGTAAAGTATTGCTACGTTGACAAAGTTATGGGCATGTAGTCTTGATGTCTAGTTTGGATGGTTTAATTATTTTTTTGGTTACAGGATTTCACCATGAGCTGACATTGGTCAGAGAATCATTGGAAAACCTGGGAGTACTGGACAGCCGTTTCGTCCTAGCTTGGGACTCTTCATCAGTTCGCACCCACCGGGGTTCGAACATAGGACCTTCTGGTTACAAGGCGAGCTCGTAGACCACTAAGCCATTAATCTTGTTAATTTAATTTTATTCCTTTACGTGCCCAGTGGAACACAGGGCTTCAAGCTGGAGCTTTAAAGTTTCGGTAGCAGTGTTGTATATTTTTTCAGAGTGGAGTTGCTAGCCAAAAAGCCCAACCCTTCCAATTCAACGATCTTGCTACCAGCTTTTCGAGGTTTAGGAGTGAGTTGGCCGCAGGTCAAACCCCAAACCATGTGTGGCAAGCATGGTTGAACCACCAACGCAGATGGTTTAATTGCGAAGCTTTTATTGTCCTTCTGGACAACATATTCAAAAGCTAACTTAGATGCGACTTCACACAGAAAGTAAAACTGATTTATATCTAATCAACGTGAAGCTTTTATATCATCTTCTTTAACAAATTTTCTGTTTAAAACTTACTCCTGATAGGTGAATACAGGTAAACGATTTAATTATGCAGTGTTATTAAAATTTCGTCATGATATATATGCCCATGAAAGAATTCTGTAACCTGCATCATAAAAAGTAAGTCACACGAATAAGAGGAAAACACACTATACAAATGCTTGCTGAAGTTATTATGTTGAATTTCCTGTTGATTAATTTGATTGTGCCTAAATGCTCAACTACTGGTGACATGACAGCCCATGGCACATACGCTTCAAAATAATGTCTTGCGATTAAATAAATACGGTTAAACCCAACCGGCCAGTCTCAAATGGAACGAAATATGCGACCCAGATACCACCGCTAGCCAACCTAAGACAAATACGAATGCTTGTTGACAGCACAAATCATGCGAATAAATTTTTTGGTCTGGTGTAAGGGAAATTTTTGCGAAAAATGATGAAACAGGGCGACCAAATTTTCTTATCGTAATGAAAATAATAATAATATTTGTGGAAGTGATAATAATGCAGTGGTGGTTTAATGATAGAATTTTCACCAACCACGTGCTTGGTTTAGTGCGTCGGTGGCATAGAGGTTAGGACACTCACCAACCATGCACATGGTCCGGGGTTCGATCCTCGGCCGGCGCACTCCTTTACTTCGCTGAGCCAGAAATAATGCTGATGAAGAGGAAAGGTTGGGCATGAGGCTAGCAACGCCATCCTGTAAAATAAACACTGCTACAGAAACTTCAAGCGACTAGCTTGAAGACCAATGTTCCACTGTGGAACGTGAAGGAAAAAAGTGCTTGGTTTAAGGTTTGATTCCCGACAGACGCATTACTAAACCTCACCGATTTTAGCAACCGATAATATGTTTTAGAAGGCTGGAGGGTTGAATGTGAGATTAGCAATCTCACTCTGTGAAAACAACACCGGGCCTACTGAAACTTTAAGATTTTAAGCCTGGAGCCTGATGTTCTGCTCGGTACCCAAGAATGAAAAAGTGATGATGATAATAGTAAGTAATAAAGTATAAATATATTGAAACGCATGCATTACATTGGAGTAGAGATACAGTTGCTGAACTTACCGAAAGGGAACGATAAATAGTAGAAAGTTGAATACCACAGCCATACTGCATACTGATAAAGTGCTTTAAATGTATACGAATTATGGTTTTTTTATTCAAAATAAGGAAACCAAACAGAAATTGATTAGAAAAAACTCCATAATTCATTTAATTTCCTGATAGGGTTGACAAGCTTAAAGGTGAAAAGCAAACTTAAGCTCCTGATTTGTAATACTTATCAGTTGACATCGAATTAGTTTCAGTAACCGTGACGATTTTGTGCACAGCCAGCCTATCAACTACATACATTTAATGAGGTGTAACAGTTTGGAAATAGAAATAAATTTGAAACATTTATTTCTCAATACGAATTTAAAACAAGCAATAAAGGTTAATAAAGCAGGATTTTTGGTAGCATTATTCGTCAGTAGCTGACAGTTTTTTGGTAAAGTGGTTTAAAATCGTGAAACATGGAGCAAATCTATTACTAAAACAAGCAATAAAGGTTAATAAAGCAGGATTTAGTGAAATCATCGAAATTCGGTAGAACTCGTCAACTGAATACTCTACATCCACGGATATATATATATATATATACTTTTGAAATTACATTGGGAGATATAAGATTGATAAGTAAACAAACTACATTGAATTAGTCATGCAGAAAGACAGGCGCGATTGTTTTCCAAGTCATGTTCAGATAGATAAGGGTAGAGGGAGTATGAGAGATCAAAATTGAGATAGAATGCATTACGGTTCAATTACATCACTTAGATAAAGAACTAGTCATTAAAGAATATAACGAGAATTGCAAACAGAGTAATATCAATAGTAATAGTTATAATAACAATAATAATAATAGTGTTGAAGTGAGTTTAGATAATCCTACTGATAAAGGATAGTTTTAAATGAATCAAGAATAATAATAATAAGAGGTAGAATAATAAGTAAAGTGTATTACCATGGTAGATTCAGAGTTACTACCATCTCCTTTTGTATACAGAGACCTGGTTCATAAACTCGAATTGCACAAGCCTCTGCAATTGCAAGCATCTTCTTGTTTCTTTGTCTACTGACCATAGTGAATGACTTGACAGCGTCGATATCATGTCCGTAGTCCACAAGATGTTTTGTTATTGAGGATTTCGGCACTTTGCACTCAGCTGTTTTCACCCATTTTGGCAAATGCTCCATTATGCGAATAGACAATCGCCTTTCTGTACGACCTATGTATTTGCTTTCAGAAACACACTCAAATTGATATACGCAGTTTGAAGTCTCGAGGATTGGCGACTGGTCTTTCCCAGATTGTTGAAGCACTGGCTTAGTGGTGTCAAGGATAACAAGTTTTGCAGCATAATAAGTTCTCTTGATGGCTTTGTCGAGTCTTCGTTTGACTACTTCCTGTACATCATCTCCTTTGAACGGCAAACTGATATAGACAGGTTTCTTTCTGCATGACTAATTCAATGTAGTTTGTTTACTTATCAGTCTTATATCTCCCAATGTAATTTCGAAAGTATATATATCCGTGTATGTAGAGTATTCAGCTGACGAGTTCTACCGAAATTTGATGAATTCACTAAATCCTGCTTTATTAACCTTTATTGCTTGTTTTAGTAATAGATTTGCTCCATGTTTCACGATTTTAAACCACTTTACCAAAAACTGTCAGCTACTGACGATTAATGCTACCGAAAATCTCGTCTAGTCAACATAATATCATTAAATAAGTTACATACGTCAAATCTAGAAGTTGAACATAAAAAAAGGATATATTTTAAAAAAACGTTGAAATTGTCATCCCCATAGAAAAAGCTTTTATAGCAGTACAAGTGATTTTTCAACAAAGTGAATATCTAAATTAAAATATTAATTCAATATAAAAACGTCAGGATGACTGATTGTCTTACATAACGATGATTAACTTGTTCATTGTATTTGATTGTCACTTTTTTGTATCTATAATTATTTCGCATATTATAATTAGATTATGATGATAAACTAACTTTTTTGAACACTTCATCGTATTTCGTAATTCTTCAACATTGATCTCTGCTAAAATCAACTGTACATGTACACTGAACATATTCGTGAACCTTTTTAATGCATCGAAAAAATGCAGCATAAAATTTGAATCTGTGCATACGTTAATTAATAATGGAGGGAAACAAAACCTTTAAAAGATGATCGATCACGATAACACGTTGTCATAATAAGGCACTTTCGAAGGTCAGTAGTACGAAGTATCGAATCACCTAAAAAGATAAATAGTGGAGAGTATATTTAATAAAAGACAAACTTTATTTTCGATTATTTACATGAAGGGCTAACGCGTGACTCACACAAACTAATTTCTAGATTTCTATCGTCATCAATGAGTAAATTATCCAAGTATGCTGAGTAAAAATGACAAATTTCAGTATCAGGAGGCTTAAAACCAATTGTTCATTTTTTCCCTAGCCGCCTTCATACTCTTAAATCTCTTGTTGTTTAAAGTGATCATTATATTAATTTCATTTTTATATAAATTGACCTGACAAGTACATGTTTCGTTAGAATATATTTAAATTAATCTTTTAAATAATGCTATTGAAAATGCCATAAACATATTCTAGATGAAGAGTCGCATCCAGTTATTGAAAACGTTTAAGCAACATATTCCATTTGTAACTTTCTTTTTAACTTACTTTATATACTCGGTCATTTGATGCTGATAGAGTGGTTTTACGGGATATGTGAAACACGATAGCCAGTAAAAGAGTGGAAAAGAAATTTAGTCAAAAACATAAAGAAGTGCTTCAGAGGTATGTAAAAGATTTAAATTCATTTTATAACTCAATTTTACATACTCAGGTAGATAGATTATCAGATGGTGATGTGAAACGCCAAACTCTACGCTATCAACGACGGCTGAAGCGTAGCAGTTAGGCACAATAACGCATCATTAATGGATAATCAGTTTTGGTGTCAGATTTACAAAACATTAACATCAAGACAAGCTGTAAACTACAACAATTTTAACCTAGGAAGTCAACAATGTGCCGCATATTTATAAATAAAAACTACTTTGATAATATCTAAAATATTTAGCTTCTAGCGTGGGAAGTGTTGAAAACTTAGTGTGCCTTCTTTGTTATTAATATGAATAATAAATGGACGGTGTGCATAATATTTGTAAGTGCAGCAACACTTGATCACAGTGTTTTGCAAGTTAGTAAGCTGTTCAGAAATATACTGCCATAACTATGTCCAACTTCCAGTTCACTTACTATCTTAGATATATTTGAACCAGCCTATTACATATGGGATATTCCCAGTCAAAAAATCTAATATGCATAACTGAGTCCTTTTGTGCCTCGCACTACGTGTTTCTCTATTTCACAAGAGCTCCTGTTCAAAACCATCACAAATTTCCTACTGTTTTAAATGGTTTTATTCTCCATTTATTTGCTAAAAAAATCCTGCAGATGGTGTATACACATATTAAAATCTTTTTTACGGTGTTAACTGGATTTCTGACTCATATAACTCAGGTTTACAAAGCGGATACCCCTTAATTTTGGCATACGTTTCTAGCACAGAGGCATTAACCAAACCATGGCACCAGCCAATGAAATCTACACCAGTTAGTTTAAGCCAGCCACGTAGGGAGGTGTAGACTTCCTGACTGGTTGGGGTCCACGGGATGGTAAAAACCAATGGCTTGAGATAATTGGTGATATGGTTCAAAATCGTTCTCAATGGCTGGTGCAGATGCATTCACTCCTTGTGTTTTCTAATTTCCAATTAAACTATTGTACTTCATTTAATTGGTGGATGGTGACTAGCAGTGGAATCCAGCCAGGATGCGCATTTCGTCCTTTTTGGGACTCGTCAACTGGATGTACCTGCATTTCCCAGTGAGTGATGATGTTCCCACCGAGGCTCGAACCAAGTGCCCACTGGGCACCAATTAAATACTAATTAAATGCCCAGACATCGTCGAAGCCTCTGCTCAAGAAGCCGACATGTCAACCTGAGACCGAGCACTTCGGTCCAATCAATCGATGGGAAAAATCTAAAATTCAATTAAATAAATATATTGTCCATCGTTATTACTAATCCTTTTGTCTCATATTCCTGTCTACTGTCTCTATTCTGCATTTCTTCTCTTGCTTTGTGTGCTACATGGAGTGTGGTGACTTGAACTGCTGCACATCAGTGCAAAGTTCTATGTCGAAAACAGACAGATACAGAGTCATTTGACATTCCTTTTGTATTCAGTTAACGGTGACACGGGATGACAGCAAAGGACGTAAGTATTGCAGTATAGTTATGCATCTTGAGACGAAAAGTTGTCAAAGCCCTTTCTGTTTGGTTTTTCACACACCAGTGATTAAGTTTTGCATAGTCTTTTTCAGGCATATATATTCAGACTGGACATACGTATTCACGCAGAAGTATTAGTGTAAAGAGACTCAGGTATTGACATCGAAAGATTCAGATTATATATCTGATTCATGGAGTATATTGTCTGTTATATACACTGATATCCCATTAAAGTCTAATCAATGCAATACATTTCTAAAAATGTTCCGTCCAACGTCTTAACTATCAGTTCTCACAGTTTAGAAAGGTTTCATATCTTCGAGATTAATTTTACCAAGTATCACCTTTTTTTCTAATTAACCATCTATTTTGTCGTGTAACTGCAGTCAACTGATACTTATACCGTATCTGAAAGGCATGTCAGCTCGACAACTTCTAGTAAAAAAATAAAAACAGTCAACTAAATAATGTGAAGTCTGATGAGGAAAGCCACAAACTGTAATTTTGGAGTCGATTGACAGCAGAAATCACCTAAAGTTGAGTGCTTATTAACACTCATCAGAGAACATGTTTGCAACATTGAGAAAACCCGACATTAATTAGAAATTCAAAGTCACAAACGTTGCTATTTAAGGTAAGGTTGTTTTATTAATTTAAGCTCCAACTAAAATAATTTTCAAGTATTGGTTGTTGTAGGGTTTTGGTTTACTGGTTACAGGATTTCATCATGAGCTGAAATTGGTTAGAGAACCATTGGAAAACCTGGGAGTACTGAACAGCTGTTTCGTCCTAGTTTGGGACTCTTCATCAGTATAAATTTTCAATATTATAGAACTTAGTTAAACAGATTTTTCATGTGCCAGGCCGTGAAACACCCCCAGTGAGAGATGATAACACCACAAACTTTTTCACGCTGACATAGGTGAGAGTGAATGCTTAAGCCACTGGACACACATCTCCGCTAAGATTATATATATAAATCGACCAAAATAAGGCCGACTGTCATAAGCGCATCGATCACCTGATAGTTATCAATGTAACAAGTGTCTAGTTCTAGGCATGTTGATTAAAATCTAGCAATCAGTCACACTGCTTACTTGAATGACAGATTGTGAGCAACGACAACACATATTAGACAACAACATAATCATTTAATAGAAATTCTCGTGTATAGCTGTTTCAGACAGAGATGAATTCAGCTGGAGTATTGTGCAGAATACTTCAGTGTCTAGTTTTGCTCACAGATTTATAATACATCCGTCTTAGTACCTAAAAACAAAGAGGTTGAATTACTTATGATTTAAATTGTAGCTACTATGGTTACTCATTTTGTTGTTTATAGTTTATCACAGTGTTAATGTATGTGTGAATCCTTTTCCAGACATTGTCCATCACAGTGAATTTAAAAGAATTATAATTATAAAAGAAGAACATAACAATATTAATAAACGTAATAAATTCAGCCCAGTTCTTTATCTTTGTTATACCAGTGGTGTGTGTTTGCAACAAGAATTTAGCTCTCCACTGTTATTTTCATTAGTACTTTCAATCACAATCAATTTGAAACTGCATTGAAATTACATAGAGTTAGCGAGGAGTCGTTACACCTAGTGATACTACCCAGATACCCTGACCTCGGTAGGTAGAACGCGTCCGACCCTATGATCGACTGGTCGGTAGTTGACCAACAAAACCAGTGAGACACAGTTCCATAAGAAACTGGATGGCATGGGATGAATGTTAAAAGATGACAATCAGGATATGAATTCAATGGTTGGGGGATTTCATCAAGAGCTGACATCAGTTAGAGAAACATTGGAAAAGCACCACTGGAGTACTCGACAGCTGTTTCGTCCTATTCTGGGACTTTTCAACAGTATGCACCTATCACCAGGGTTTGAACCCAGGACATTCTGGTTAAAAAGCGACCTCATAGACCATTAAGCAGCCACTGGGACCCGATCTAACGGCCAGTCCATGAATTCTAACTCCTGCCAATTCATGACACAACGCGACCACTTCGCAATTTCTTCTTCGATGAGTTACTACCTCACCTTCAACCTGCTGTACCCTACTGGTTACGGCCTGAATAGGGCCAGTCGCTGGTGAGCTGTCCAGTACTCCCAGGTTTTTCAATGGTTCTCCAGCTGATGTCAGCTTATGATGAAATCCTCAAACTAATCGAACAAAATCCCTATAAAACCAATAATTGCAAATATGAATTCATGTTGCAAATATGTAATGTCATGTGTCTGACAAAGTTTTCCTACAAGGAAATATGCACACACACACACGTATACACTAATCAAAATATTCATTTTAGTCGTTTGGATTTTTCAACTTTTTACAATAGGTCACACACAATGCACTTTGACTTGGTCCAGTCATCCTAGACATGATTAGAATAATGTATCCTCATTAATTTTTACTTCCTTATTAAAAAAAACGGAGTAAGAAAATCTAAATATAGTGGTTGAAAGTTGTTTGAGCACATTAGTCAGTGACACCACCGCCAGTTATGGGTATAATGAATGTATTTAACTGGTGGATGGTGACTAGCAGTGGAATCCAGGATGCACATTTCGTCCTATGTGGGACTCGTCATCTGGACGTAGCTGCATTTTTCAGTGACTGATGATGTTTCCACCGAGGCTCGAACCCAGTGCCCATAGTTTCAAACGCCAAAGCATTATCCACTAGACCACTTGGGCCACGAGAGCCACCTCTTGTGCAACGGGTCATATTAATTGAATTTTAGGTTTTCCCGTTGATTGATTGGACCGAAGTGCTCGGTCTCAGGTTGACATGAATGTAGTTTACAACTTTCAAAAATGATTTATGTATGTAGGCTTGACGATACGCACAGGCAGACGTACACAACATATTCGCAAACCAAAATTGGTTAATATTTAAAAAAAAAGACAAAACCATTATTATTGCATAAATATAATATTTTCTATCAAACAGGTTGCTTTTTTTAAAAATTTATTTCAACAGTAATTTTTTAAATTCTTAATAATATACTTTGGATGAAATCAACTATGAAAATGAAAGGTGAATGAATACAATTGATCAAATTGGAAACCAAGAGGTTAAAATTAAAAGTATGGAAAAAGGGCAAATAATGACGACACCACAAGGATATACAGAACACTGCATAGTCTAAGTGTGTGTGTGTGTGTGTGCACTAGAATATAAGTGAGTGTGCACGTATGCGTGTTTTTGTAAGAGGCAAATCAGAGAGTCAAGATAACTTTATGCACAATCAGTTGTTCTGCTGTTGTGTTTGTCTTTTATTTCTCACTTCACAATAATAATATAAAGAAATCTAAATGTATGATTGATTAGAAGAAATTATGACTAGAACAAAACATGATAATTAAATAAGGCAAAGTACCATAAAATATAAAACAAAACAAAACAGAAAAAACAACACTAGAAAAATTGTAATGCTGGTTAAGTAAATGCTGATAAGAAGAACATCATTCAACAACAAAGGAGGACTGTGGTAGATAAATGGTCAAAAAGAGAGAACTAAGTCATACATTTATATATGTATGAATGAATAGATAAGTACATACGTTTGTGTTTTAACACTGAAACTGTAATCATTATTATTATTATTATTATTATTATTGATATTGTTATCAATAACAACATATGAATACTAATGGTAACAAAATGAATAAAAAAGATTGGAATGCATTTTTCTCGGGGCAAATCGTTATTGCACATGTAAATTATACGAACAATTAATTTTAAGAGAAAAGAGTAAAACATAATCTGGACAGTGTCTGTTAGATGGAATGCCATCGAGAAACAATGAAGTATATATATATATATATATATATATATATGATATCACATGGGGGTAAGGGGTACAGATGTACAACACAAAACTGGGAACAAAATAGACATTAACAAATCTAAAGGATTAAATAATTCTTGCAAAAATGATCTGCAGCAGAAACAATTAAATTTATTTTATTCTTATTTCTGTTGGAGACTAAATGCAATGAATGTGGCTGCCTACTACATCACTATTGTTAGCAAAAACGCCAGATGAGAAGAAATTAGTATGCCGTGTAATAAATTACAATTATGTATATGTATATGTATATTATATGAGCCAGACGTCTCACTTCATATTATTCAAATCGTTAACTAAATTATATAATAATAATAATAATAAATATTAGTAATATCACTATCACGGTCATAATTATCAGAGATACTTTATACAACATAAAGAAAAAGAAAAGGAAACTACATTCAGAGAGAATGAATAGTAAACCAAAAGAAAAAAAGAATGTAGACAAACACAGATAAACAATAAATTGCACAGTGTTAATTTGAGCAGACCTACACTTCAACAACAAACTCTGGATTAACAAAAGAAAATCCGCTAAATTCAGTTTGAGTTAAATTCATTACAAATAGTTTATCCGTTGGTGTTAATTCCGGTGTAACTTTTGTGAATTCACTATCGAAATTACTTGTATCGCGTGGTGAACACTAGAAGACACAAAAAAGAGAAGAGAAAGTGAAAAAAACAGAAAACGGTGGAATCATTCAATTAAATGGGAATAAGGAGAGAAAAAAAGGCGTTTATTTTTTTTTAGGATTATGATACTACTTATTGGATATAGAAGGGGGAACAAATTTCCCATGACAAAAATACGAAAATTAATCTTAATGAATAAAGTAATTATTGTACAATCTGAAAATTCCGTATCCCAATCAGCTCACCTTTTCTACGAATAAATTTCAACTCATCATTATGAGAAATAAATTGTGCTTAAAATGTGGCATTTAGACAAACCGACTTATCAAGAAATAAAAAGTTTGTCAGCTTAAGGATGCAATATTTGCAACTGGGGAAAATAATATAATTTTGTAAAAACCATGTATTATTATTATATTTTCCTTTAGTTCCTAGAGGAACATAGGGCTTCAGCCGTGCGTCTCCATTGCGTTCGGTCCTCTACTAGAGTCTTCACCTGGCTCCAAGTCTGTCCACACGTTTTCATCTCCTCTTCACATGACCTCCTCCAAGTCACCCTTGCACTGACGACTAACTCGCCACTTCCCATTCGGGTTCCACTGGAGGGCTTGTCTAGTGATGTCACTTGATGGTTTCCTCAGAGTATGGCCAATCCATCTCCATTTCTTCCTGCATATTTGTTTCACAATTGGTTCCTGGTTGGTTTGCTCCCAGAGATCCCTATTGCTGATCCCTTATGGCCATCTGATCTTGAGTATTGAGCGAAGACAGCTGTTAATGAAAGTCTGTAGTTTGTTTGAGATGCTCTTTATGACGCGCAGTGCAAGTCTCTGATCTGTATAGTAGCACTGACTTTACATTGGAGTTGAAAATATGGATCTTATTTTTGATGCTGAGTGCTGTTGACCTCCACACAGACTTGAGAGCAGTGAAATCTTGGTTTGCTTTTCCGATTCTTACTTTGATATCCTCGTCAGTTCCACCTGTAGTTGAAACGATGCTTCCCAGGTGGGTGTGTAGGTAAAGGAGGCTGTTTCCTTCAGCTTCCTCCCATTTATGCTGATTGTTGTCTGTTGTTGTTGTTACTGTTGGTGGTGTTGCCCAGGAATCTTCATCACCTCTGTTTTCTCTATGTGTGATGCAAGTGAAATCAATTACCTAGGTCAAACTAGTAGACTTGGGTAAGTTAGGTTATGGGAATTTAGTTAGATCTAGAATGATTAACAGTGCCAGGTTAAATCATTTATAATAAAAAAGCTCAGCCATTGCAGTTCGTTCACTTGCATGTAGTCACATAATACGGTGGAGTAGCGGAGAAGTATTAAAGAGTGGTGTAATTACATGGGGAGAGAGGTTATTAATCACTAAATCTTTGTAAATCGACCTCAACACGAAACACATGCACCCAAAATGACGGTAGTACATATCCTGAATATATGGAAAATCACAATGAAAAGCACAAGGGGCTGATGCCATTTGAAATAGGTTTAGAAGTAGTGATTTGATTACTAGTAATATATTCATGCTGGAAACGTCTAGCAATTATCAAAACTGTCACTCTATGTTATATATCAAACAAACTAATCTAATATGATATTATATATCGTAACACAATTTATTTGGAATCATATAAACCGAAGTGAAACAAAAACAGCGTTCGTTTTTCCAACTGAATGAACATCTAAGGATACTGAAATTTCTTGTTTTTATATAAAATCATTTCAATCTGTGCAATGAGATAGCGTGGAAGAGGCGGGGATTTATTAGACACTTTTCATAAATAAAAGATGAGTCAGTTCAATGTTCAATTACGAAAAAAACATTTTCATTAACGAAATTCGGCGTAGAAAAACAAAGTAAGTTTCAGCTAACAGTTTATATTTGAAATTATAAACCCGATAAAAGATAAATGTTTTAACGAAATTAATTTCAGATTCATTTTATTCACATTAAGTTTTAATGTATGTCTTTTTGTTGTTTTTTCTTAGGCGCTAAATATAAACTGAAAATATCCATTTAGATAATGGGTGAATTTTATATCTATTAGAGTTGATTTTAAAAAGAACAAATAATTTCTGGGTGAATTAATTTTACTTTAGTGATGACCGATAAGGTTGAGGCTTCAAAATCTGATGTAGGCATAAAATACTGGAAAATTTCCAAAGTATAATGAAACAGACATCCATTGCTACTTGTGGGTTTTAATTTCTCTTAAGATGATGTCAATTTAAGATGAACTTTAGCTAAGGATTAATATAATCACAACAGGCTAAATATTTACACAATACGTTAGTCAGTGTATGTCGAAACCAAAGGAAACTGAGAATAAATTTTCTGCAGTATTATTTGAAGTCGAACTGTGACTCCACTTTAGTGTTTTTGCATACACTATAACAGATTTCAACATTTCTATTGACCTTATAATATATATATATATATATAATTTCAATGAACAACAATAAACAACAATGAAGTTCGAAGTACGGAACCCTACATTGCTCTAAAATATTCAGATATCTAAAGAGAAGTTGTTGGAAAATTCTCTTTCACTCAAAAATTCTTGTTTCGCCTTTTGTAAATATAATAGTTAAAATGGACAAGATTTCCAGGCCAACGATTGTCTGTCTGTTTTCGACATAGAACTTTGCACATATGTGCAGCAGTTCAAGTCGCCACACTCCATGTAGCACACAAAGCAAGACAAGAAAGTAGGAGAAATGCATATCAGAGACAGTAAACAGAAGTGTGAGACAAAGGAATAGTAATAACGAAGAACAATATAGTTTCATTGGAAATCATAAGTCACAAGGAGTGGATGCATCTGCACCAGCCATTGAGTACGATTTTGAGCCATGATGTCACCAATTGTTTCCAACCATTGGTTTTTACCGTCCCGAGGACCCCAACCAGTCAGGAAGTCTACACCTTCCTACGTGGCTGAGACTAACTGTTGTAGATTTCATTGACTGATGGAGCCATGTTTTTGTTTGACCACCGCTAGCTCATTTCCAGCCTGACCCTATGTCAGCTGACTAACATTGCTCGTCGAGGAAGGCGATGACTAGGCATACATAACACATGTCCTAACCATCTCAGTCGATGTATTTTCACAGCCTCGTCGATTGATTTCCCCCCTCCTTACCTAGCACTCGACGCCTAACCTCAATATTGCTCACCTTATTACACCATTTCACACGTTAGATAGAACGCAGACACCTATGATCAAAGACAGCTAATCTTTTCATGTCTTCCACTCTCAATGGTCAGGTCTCACAGCCATAAAGGAGGACAGAGCGGACTGATGAGCAGTACACACGCCCTTTGGTCGACAGCCAGCCGGATATCACGTCTATGCCAGAGACGGTGTAAACTGGCATACGCGAAACTAGCCCTCTGTATCCGTGTTGAGATTTCGTCAGAGATCAACCCGTTGGGGCTGATGGTACTTCCCAAGTAAGTGAAGCGGTCAACGTGCTCTACCACTTCACTTCCTATTTCTAATCTCGGAGTCGGTGTAGTCCAATCCTGCAACATCATCTTGCATTTGGCGGGAGCGAATCGCATGCCAAACATTCTTAGATTGCAGCTCAAGATGTTCAGTAGACTCTGCATTTTGTCAGGGTCCTCGCCTAGAAGGACTATATCATCCTCATGCATATTCTAAGTCAACGAGATTATTCCCTGGTAGCAAGTCAATCCCTGAGTCGCTGAAGTGAGTTAGGGTTAAGTCTGTTAGTACATCTATGATGAAGTTGAATAGAAATGGGGATAATGGGCATCTTTGATGGACGCTACTAGTCGTCACCACTTCAGATGACAACTCGCCGTAAGCCATCAACTGGCTGCATGAGTGCTAGTAGAGTAGGCCTACGACGTTTATGCAATATTCTTAACAAGAATCTAAAATAAGCATAGTTGTTTTAAATACGTTTGCAGTTGTGTTTGAATGTATTTTTCAAGAGATGACATGTTCATATTGGCATGTTAATAAGAAGTACAATTCTAATTTGTATCCGAATTAATTAAACTCAAATTGCTTCTTAGACACTTTGTTTCAAGAAAAAAAAATCATCTTAAAAACAAGAAATGGTAGAAAATATTTCAAAGAAATCTACAGAGAGCAATAAAACTAGAGACTGTTTTCAGTGAGATAAAATATTCGTGTTTAAAGAGTTTTCGGTTTACAATAATCTTGTGTAACAACTAATAGCGAAATTCGGACAAATGTCGAATAGATATGCAGAAGAAAATTAGATTAAAGATCATTCTTGGTAAGCGTTTCATCTCGTGAATAGTTACGTATCCAATGCTTCTGGTTATGTGCTTGATAATGGAATGGTAAGTGCAAAGTAAGTCGCATTCGGAAAATGCATAATATTGATTCAGCTGAAAATTTGTTTTTAATCTCGAATTCATGTCAGTTAACTTTGAAATCAGCGATAGTTTTTGACAAGTACTTAATTGTCAGTTTTCCGTTGATAGCGGACTATCACATGCTATATCGATTGTGGGATTTTCGGCTTTGGAAAACATCTCTTGCAGGATAAAATAAATTTTACTTTGACGTGGTTAGGAGTAGCGCTAATTAAAGAACGAAAGTAAACCGGTGAGGTTGTGAAGCTGCACTGATTGAGACGGCTCGGAAACTTGACACGTAATGTTAAGCTACTGTCTTCCTCGATGACATAAAATTAGGTTGCAAAAATGTCAGAGGTGGTCAAATCAAAATCTAACATCTTTCCATTTGATCCTTGAATGTTGGTTTGAGCCACATAGGGTGAGGTAGACTGAATGGATGGGGACTTGATGATAGTTAAGAACCAATGGGTAGAGACTAATGGTAATATGAATCAAAATTGTTCTCTATGGATCAGATGCACTCACTCCTTGTAATGTCTCAGGTCTATTAAGTTCTCGTGCCATTAATCTTTCTCATTATAGTTCTTTTGAATATTTTTCTGTACCGTTGAAGGGTATGTGGAGAATGGCAAAGTCCTATGTTGAAACTAAGGCAAAATAATTTTCGGCTGTGCGGATACAAACCCAGTTCATTCAAAGACTATAAGCCTCACATATTATATAAGGCCATCAAACACTAACTTAATCCTTGAGGAGTGAATAAATGTGAGAGTTCGTGATCCGTTTGGTTGAAACTTACTAGGTATAACCAAACAGTCAAAAATATACGTCTTTATTTAAAAAGAGCATGAATCAGTTATAATATATATCCACCACAATCCAGAAACATACGGTTATTGGTTTGTAGGGAGGTTGAACTAAACGCAAAGCAATTTTGTCCCAGTCTAAACGTCGGAAGAATAAATGTTCTTTTATCTCCCGTTCGCCATCTGGACCACAACCAAGTCGTTTGCATGGATCTCTCGTAAGAAGCTGTGTAATAATAACAATAATAATAGTAATAATAATAATATAATAATACAATGCTGAGAATAAAAACTCAGTTTTCTGACAAAAGTATTTCAAAAAGTGAAGTGTAAACAGTCATTTTAAGTAGATTTAAGTGAGATCAAAAAACACAAAAGGCCTGATTTTGCATGTCTACAGTGAATTGCTACCTTTACCTCTTTGACACTGTTTTCGGTAGTTGATAAGCGAAAAGCTTGACTTGTTTTAGCAGCTTTCGCTATTGTTAGCCTTCATCAGTAAGGCGAATCTGACGCTTTTAACTAACCACTTAGTAATAAAGTTGAAAGACTTGATATCGCCTTTAACAATAACTATTCTAGAATGTGATTATAATATTGACACTAAAGTGACATGTAATCAAAAAGAACACGGACAGATTACTTTATTTGTGGAAAAAATATTTTAACAAATGTTCCATGCAAACTAATGAAGATGAAAACTGTTTTCATCATAAAAACAACACAATCAGCATGTGATTAATAAAATATAACAAATAATAAGGGTGAGTATTGTCAGCTCATTTGAATAACTTCAATATCGTATGAAGTATCCGTGAATATAATCAAATTCCAGTTGAAAAGTTTGATTGTTTGAAGGATTTCATCATGAGCTGACATCAGTTAGAGAACCATTGGATAACCACCACTGGAGTACAGGACAGCTGTTTCACCCTAGTTTGGGACTCTTCAACAGTACACATCTACCGCCAGAGTTCGAATCCAGGACCTTCTGGTTGCAAGGCGAGGTCACAGACCATTAAGCAGCCACTGGGGCCCGATCCAATGGACAGTCCATGAATTCTAACTTCTAACATTGCGAAAGGTCTCGCTATGTCATGAATTGGCAGGAGTTAGAATTCATGGACTGCCTATTGGATCACGTCCGAGTGGTTGCTTAATGGTCTACGACCTCGCCTTGCAACCAGAATGTCATGAGTTCGAGCCTCGGTGTTTGCGTGCTGATGAAGAGTCCCAGAATAGGAGGAAACAGCTGTCCAGTACTCCAGTGGCGGTTTTCCAATGTTTGTCTAACTAATGTCAGCTCTTGATGAAATCCTTCAACCAATCGAACTAAATCCCTACAAAACACCAATACTTGAAAATTCCAGTTGAAAAGTCAACTTAACATAGTGTCAGTTCAATTTTACTTTTTCTAGTTTACATCGTTAAAACAACACAATGAAGTCAGTCAGTTAACGATCAGTCTGCGGTCTTTTTTGTAGGAAGTTATTTATGACAATGAATAGCAACGTGACTAAATATTATAACGCATCACAGTAAGTGATGTACGCCGATGTCGCCCATTGCCAGGAAGCAGGAAACCTAGATGAGGAGGAAGGACGCTTTATCAACTGGCTTTAAATATTTTCTGCCAAACATATAGACAACACGACTACTAATAGATTAGGATTAAACGTATAAAATGCTCAATATTTACTCTTGAAATTTACTTCCATATAACAAATTATGAATGAAAAAAAAGATGTGAAAATAACTGGTAAACAAAATATATTTCCTTATAAAGTAAATAAACGTGCTTAATTACTTTCAAACAAAAATATCACTGTTTATCTAAACAAAACATTACGCACACTAAGACTGTCCTCCAACAAATTTCCAAAATTTTCAATTAAATTAGAGGAAATGATAATAAAGTCTAGAATTATTTCTGGATAATTGAAAGGTTGAAAAATAAGCAGAAGAATAACAATGTATAAACTAATATCGACTTACAGCTTTACAAATAGAGACAGACTCTTTCGATAAACTCTTCGGATATGAAATGTTATGCTGTAGGATGTTGGCGAATAAATCCTCTTCATCTTCACCTTCAAATGGTGGCTAGAAGATAATAATAATAACAAAAATAATAATAATTGAAGGAGATACGATGTAAGATAGTGTTGAGTTAGTAAACTGCTATTAACATACAGATGCTATTAACATGATAGGGGGTGGACTGAGAGTGAAATGAAAAACTCGGTTGTGACACGGTGGCTTCCGAATTCACGATCAAACGCTCCACTGGCTGAGATAAGAGACTAAACTACTGATCAGATAATCGTCAAACTGCAATCCCCGTGGGTAGTCGGATGATAAAAAAGACAGACAGAAATGCATCCTTTATGCATATGCTTGCTTCCTTAACTGCCATTTATGGTACCAAGAATTGAAAACAAGTTTTTATTGGAACAATTTTTTTCCTTCACGTTCCCCAGTGGAACATTGGGGATTCAAGCTTGTGGCTTGAAGTTTCTGTAGCAGTGTTTATTTTACAGGATGAGGTTGCTAGCCTCATGCCCAACCTTTCCTCTTCACCAGCATTATTTCTGGCTTAGCGAGGTTAAGGAGTGCGTCGGCCGGGGATCGAACCCCAGACCATGTGTGTGGTCGGCGAGCGTCCTTACCACTATGCCATCGACGCACTATTATGAAGATGTATTTCCTCACAAAAGTATAGATGAGAAGGAAATAAACTTAGCGAGTAAAACAATATATGGAATAAATAAAAGTGTTTATTCAGTATCAGTGTACAAGTATTGTAGTTACTGGTGAATGACAACAGAAGAGCACTAGAATGTTGAAATATAACCACTGTAGAAAACAAGTCCAAAACGTGTGGTTAGTTATGCAATTAATGTGAAACGGTTCCATACTTTCCCAGGATAAAATTATGTAAAATTAACAAGGAATAAGAAAATGTTTAGTATCTTAGACGAGATCTTAGATATTTTCAAAAAAAAATTCAACGATTGAACCTCTGTCGTTTACAAGTTTCATAACATATTAGAATTTCTTATTTCTATCCATTCTTCCTGTCAAGCCTATCTGATCTATCTCAATGGATACTTTTTTTACCTGGAATACTTCACTTAAATGCTTCAGCACTGAGTGTAATAACCTGAATAGCTACATCACGAACATCCTGTTATTTGACCAACAGCATACAACGTATGCATTCAATTCATTATGGGTCCTTTATTTACTGTTTGTTAATCACCTACATTTTAAGAGTTCAAAACTCGGTGACAAGTTTGAAACAGTGTGACGATTACGATCAATTGCTGCTCATTTTCAACGACAAGAACAACAACAATGTACTATACAGCCAAACATATTTTCATAGAGAAAACCAGATCTATGCTGTCCTGTAAATCCTCACAGCATCCGAAAGATAGTGCCATATCTCAGTAAGTTCACCAATTTGCATGTATGTGTGAACACACGTACACAGGAAGGATCCATCGGTCTCTGCAGGTTAGGACTACAGAACATATTCCAAAGTCATTGTAACAACAAATTAAATTACCAAATAAAACTAATCTATATAGAAGCATCATAAGGCTGATTTCAATAATATCTTAAAACCCATATATAAAACAAGGTTGGGTCACATACTTAAATTTGTTGAAGCCTTAGCCATAGAAAGGCTTAAACCTATCTTACTTGCCGAAAAATTATTTGTTATTACATTAAACCTGCCTTGGTAATTCAATTTAGAACCACCGTTCAATCTACTTAATGATATTTTTACCCTCTCCCTTCTTTTATTCTTCTTACGTCATCATCCCTTATCTGTGACCTTGACTTGTACACAATCTGACCTGTATAGTACTAATGTATGCTCTTTTGCCTTCTATATAAATTTGTAGGACAAGTACGTGTGTCCGCAGAATGCCCGCAATGTGCTGCGCAAGTACATCACACGTGTCAGATAAATTAGGTCCACCTATTCTTTTGTCAAAATGCATAAACAGAAACAAATTGCTTTAAATAACCACATAGTCACAATTAATAACTCGGCTATAACATTGACTTCCGCAGATTCGAACAGGGAAACTTTATTTTAGCGAAATTGGTCAATTCTGCAACCAAGGACAATTATTGATTGACAACACTATACGACAGTCGGTAAACAGAGTATTCTAATCAAAAAGGGGCTAAATTGTATCCTTATTATCCAGAGACCTAAGTTAACAATAAATAAATAACACATTTTAACTGGAGACCTCGAAACATTGTATTGAAATGACAAACACCGACTGTTAGATGCATCGTATTTTTTTTCCAAAATCCAATCCAAATGTTACATGTCAATCTATTGATCGAATGGTGTGCCACTTTAATGACTGACGAAACAACATTACGCCAAATAAATGCAAAAGCGTAGAACTCACCTGACCGGCTAACATTTCATACAACAGTACACCATAAGACCACCAATCCACTGATTTCCCATAGGGTTTATATAAAAGTATCTATGAAAATTTGTAAAGACAAATATTACATAGGTTCATAAGATTCTGTTGAGAAAATGTGAAAGCAGAAAAAAAATCAAAAGAATTACGCTTCAAGCGTTAGTCGTAATACAGCGGCATACATTTACATATATGTTCTTCGACTACAGCGTATTACACAACAGCAAACTGATTATAATGCACTTTATGACTACAGTGTTGATTCTATCCCATTCGGCTGGCTAATTTGTACCTTTGAGGAGTTCAACATACCTATACAACTTTAAACCACATAATCATTGGTAAAAAACAACATTTGAAAGAATAAGAATTTAAAGTTTCTGCATAAACACCTCTCCCCCCTCCCACACTCCAAAAGATCAACCTCTATATTTCGACACATCTGATAGTATTTTTTTAGTTGTCGCAATTTGGAATTATCATATCAGATGTAATGCAGATAATGCAAATGTAAAACTGGATTATGAATCAGGTGAACATTTCAAGAGTAAAAGAAAAGAGAAGTTAACAAGTAACATATGATCTAGAAAACAGCCAAAAATATGATAAAAGAAAGAAGATGTGATTAACTATCAGCGGAGTAGAAACATCAAAGTAATAAAGTATGAAGAAAAAGGGTGCGCCCAGTGTTTTCTGTCATTGTAATATGAGATTATGCATAAAAATATTATCTCCAAAATGAAAGGGATATATCGCATTACACATAGTTTCATTAACCAAAAATTACAATATTAGGCATGACGGCTATTGTTAAAGTAGAATCTATTTCATATTTAGTTTATCCACAATTAATCATTCTTGAGAAAATGAAAACAAGGTAGCAAGTTAAGGTTGCGAGGAGAAGCAGAAACTATTTATTGGTATATGATTTTCTTTAAAAGTATATTTACAATCTATTTCAATATTTGAATGATAATATAATTAAGAACTGGTGTATCCACGCTTGATTCCTTACAGAATTGTCGTCACAAACGACTGAGAGTTACTTAACCAGAAAACAAGCAAAATATTCAGTGCTGCTTGTAATTCTATGGCTGAAATCAATTTACTAATAGTAATAGGAACACATCAGGTCTACACAGCACGACGATATAACAATGAACCTATCTTACCTTAGTATTATTACTGGCAAAACATGCAGAAAATCACCATAACTCTTAATATTACTATTATTAATCAAGATAGAGACCAATATCAGTTCAATGAGATGATCAGTACCAATGCAGCTGAATAGAATGATAAGCGAAACACAAGAGACAACCAATCACAATCAGGGAAAAGTTTTATTGCATTCATGGAGAATGAATTACAAAAGCTCATTTCATTTTGCAATTAAAGGTGAGGATGTTGTCTAGAGGGACAACGAAAGTTTCTCAACTAAACCTTCCAACTCAAACAAACCAACAGAAGACAATAATCCGGATAGGTCAGTGAGAAATATCACCAAGAAGACTGTGTAACAACCACGATAACCAGCCATCTCCTACAACGGATAATAAAATTTAAATTACTGTAGTATACATTCGTGAACACCTGATTTACTCAGGCCTGTTTGGTGCTCTGAACGCCTTTGCATCCTTTTTCGGAGCACTACTGCTTGGTGGGATAAGTTTTCAACAAGTATGGTTGTGGAATCGCTCGTTCTTATGATTTCGTTGAGAAAGACAGTGCTGTTTGGCCAACAGTGATCGTTTTGCAGAGGAAAATCACACACACATACACACAGAGGTTGTCAATGAAATGAGCACTTAAAATCTACTCTATGGAAAAATATCAATAAATACAGAAACGACGGGATAGCTCAACTGACGCCAAAAAGTATTCACTTACTGAAGAGGCTAATCTAATATTTAGCCTATATATATACAATTCTTAAATTATTATTGTTTTCTTTAGTTCCTCGAGGAACATAGGGCTTCAGCCGGGCGTCTCCATTGCGTTCGGTTCACTGCTAACGCTTTCACCTGGCTCCAGGTTTGCCCACATGCTTTCATCTCCTCTTCGCATCACCCTCTCACTGATGACCAACTCGCTGCTTTCTATTCGGGTTCCACTCGAGTGATGGCTTGGCGTGTGATGTCACTTGATGGTTTCCTCAGAGTATGACCTATCTACCTCCATTTCTTTCTGCTTATTTGTTTCACAATTGGTCCCTGGTTGGTTTGCTCCCAGAGATCCCACCCTGTTCACGATCTTTTCTGACCGGCCATCTGATCTTGAGTATTGAGCGAAAACAGCTGTTGATGAAGGTCTGTAGTTTGTTTGAGGTGCTCTTTATGACGCGGCGCCAAGTCTTTGATCCGTATAGTAGCACTGACCTCGCATTGGAGCTGAAAATCCGGATCTTATTTTTGATGCTGAGTACTGTTGACCTCCACATAGACTTGAGAGTAATGAAAACTTGCCTTTCTTTCTTAAAAACTTCGATGAAATTAATCTGCTTACTTTAATCTTAGGTAAACACATTCATAAATGAGAAGATTATTGAGTAAGTCTATTATTGTGTTTACAGCTGTCAGCAGATTATATGAGCGGGAAATCAAAACTAAACATTAGGAAATAAAAGAACCGAAAAGGTTGCTTATTAATTTACGTAGTTGACTTTTTTTACTTAACAGATCATGAGTTCCCCTCGAAAGGGGTTGTCCACTGGGAGAGAGGATCACCTCTATCCTAACTAAGTTTATTGCTTTTAAAAATAATGCCTTCTTCATAAATTGTGTGTCAGTTAACATATAACCCGAGTAGGAGGACATTTCATTCACCATTATCATAATGTAAACAAATATCGAAAATTAGTTTTGATTAAGTTAGTTTTTCGTTTTTCCCGATGATCGATTTAACTGAACATTTAAGTTCAGCTTCCGTTGACATGTTGGCTATTTAGTACAGACGTTCCAACGATGTTTAAGGATTAACACTGATTTTGTTTGGTGGATGGTGACTGACGACTAGTTGTGGAGTCAAGGATGCACAGTTTGTCCTATTTGGAATCTGTCAGCTAGATGTCAGATATCAAAAGTATTTTATGCATATATCCCACTGTGTCTTCAATGCCAGAAAAGACGAGCACAGATTGTCATGAAAAACTCTAACAGTGAAAACTAGATAAAAACGAAAATTCTTGTTTTCATTCTATGAGTTTTGAGTGAAACCTACAGTTTCTGGTTTTTAATTTTCAGTTACAGTGGTGCTTTTCTTACGGCATGGAGTTGCTAGCCTACATTTACCACTCTTTATCGGGCTTACTATTGACTAGTAAACTTGGCGAGGTTTCAGAGTGTGTTAGTCGGGAAACGAGCAAAGACCTGACGAAAACAACCGAACTCACAACAACTGAACTATCCAGTAATCAAAAATCTAAACTTTAATTATTCATCATTATTTAAGGAAAGAAACAAAAATGGAAAGACAAAACGAAAAATCAAATTACTTCTGGTGCTATATAATCTGGTGTACCACAAAATGTTTGAGTTGTTACATCACCAACAATGCCATCTTTACACATTCCAAAATCAGCGATTTTTATGTGTCCTTCTGAGTCGAGTAATAAATTATCCAATTTCAAATCCCTGTTGAAAATTGAATAAATACAATAAACAAAATAGAAAAGAAAAAGAAGAAACATTTATAAACAGCAACCATACAAACTAATTGAAAACGATATACAGGTGTTCACACTTAATATTTGAGGTGGAAACTCTGATACATTTTTATCCATTTATCTTTTTCGCTTTTTTTCCCACAATATATTTTGCATTAATTTTCATGCGTTATTTATATAAAACATTGGAATTGTTTAGGCAATTGTCTTAAATCTCTGCCAAATGAAAAAAATTAATAAAACTGATTTATATACCACATAAAAGTGTAACAAATTAAACTGTGAGATAGAATGAAATCGCCAACAAAAAATACGCAAAATCAACTTTGAGTAATAAATTTTTATTATTATTCCCTTGGGTTCCTGAGTGGAACATGGGGTTTCAACAGCGCATACATATATATATATATATCATCCTATTCCCAGTGGTCCTCTTTATCTGTCTCCACGGTTCCATATATGCTGACGTCTAATCTTCATATGATCTCCCCCCCCATGCCACAATAGGATGCCCAACTTGTTGTTTCCCCTTGGGGTTCCACTCTATGGCTTGTCTAGCGCATCATGTGACTCAACGGTCATCTCTTAGCATATACATCCAACCCATTTGTGTTTCCTTCAGCACATACATTTGTTGGGTAACAGATTCTTGGTTGATTCGTTCCCAGAGTTATTTGTCATTTCTGTCCAACCATCTGATCCCGAATATGGAGTGAAGGCAGCTAGCTATTGATAAATGGTCTGCAACAGGCTGTGGAAAATGCTCTTACGAACACGTCAAGTCTCCGAACCATGATAGACGAACTGAGGATATTTAGTGCTGGAAATCAGAATCTTGATTCTTGTGTTGAGTGAAGCACATTTCCACACTGATTTCAAATTAATGAAGGTTTGTCTCGCTTTTCTGTGCCTGACATCCTCATCCATACCACCTGTAGTTGAAACGATGCTGTCTAGATAAGTGAAGGAAATGACCTCTTTCAGAAGTCTCCAGCTGATTGTAATTGGTGTTCATAGTTGTTTAGGCATCTTCAGCAAGAGTAATAAATAAATACTATGGGTAAAGAAGTCATGCGTCGGTGGCATAGCGGTTAGGACGCTCGCCGACCATGCACATGGTCCGGGGTTCGATCCCCGACCTCACTAAGCTAGAAATAATGCTGATGAAGAGGAAAGGTTGGGCATGAGGCTAGCAACGCCATCCTGTAAAATAAACACTGCTATAGAAACTTCAAGTTACTAGCTTGAAGCCCTATGTCACACTGGGGAATGTGAAGGAAAAAAGATGAGTAAAGAAGTAAGTAAGACACATGACGAGTGTGGGTGAAGTATCGAGAAGATTTCAAGGAATATCAAGCATAGATGTGCTAAAGCATTGATAAGCAATTCGATTTCATCATATTGGGTACATCATGAATTAGTTTAAAATCAAAAAAAGAAAAGAAAATTCCTAGCCATACTATAATTTGCTTATAACCCTAAAAAGGAATCCAGTTGTCTGATTATACTGCGCAAATATATATCTACTTTTTAAACGCATCTATATAGTGGCACAACTGCACATCAAACATTATTCCTCTATGTATTATTCCTAAATTCCTTACACACAGTTACAAAGAAGAATCCAACATGTATGTCAACCTACTTACACTGAGTTAGTTATACAGCATTGACCACTGACCTGATTGATGCCCTGGGAAAATGTTAATTAGCTACTTCACCAATTGAAATTCTAGTTGGCTGTCTAGTGCTGCAATTTACAACACTGTAAATTCAATTCCATCTGGGAAACACGACAAAAGCACGAGAAAAGCCTTTTCTTTCACTTACATCATATATTTCAGGCTGTTCTTTTCACTTACCGGTATATAATTCCTTTATCATGTAGGAAGAATAAACCAACAGCCACTTCAGCAGCATAAAATCTAGAATATTTAATGCAAAAAAAATAATTAAAGAAACTCGAAGTTATATACTACTTGAAAATTCACTGTCACTGACTACATAGAAAAATCTACACTACAAGTACCAGATGAAACAAACTAATACGATAGACAGCTAGTGATAAAAATGAGTCGCAAAAGACTTTATAATGAATACAGTGACAACCGACAGAAAGAAATAATAAGCACAGTTCTGGATAAATTTCCATGAGCTTTACAGAGTGGAGCTGCAGTTATAATGTGAAGCAACATATTTTTTTAAGATTCCTTCACGTTCCCAGTGGAACATAGGGCTTCAAGCTAGAAGCTTGAAGTTTATTTTTACGGGATAGGGTTGCTAGCCTCATACCCAACCTTCCGTCTTTACCAGTCCTATTGTTGGTTTGGCGAGGTAAAGGAGTGCGTCGGTGGCCGAGGATCGAACTCCGAACCACCTGAGTGGTTGGCGAGCATTCTACCGCTGTGCCACCGACGCACCAGAAACAACATATAGAGGAGAGAAACATGGTGGGTGCTCCAGATTTTCAAACTATGACAGAGTAGTAAATAGTCGGCTATTTATATCCATAGGCTGTAGATATGAAAAAGTGTTTGCAAACCCATGCCAAGAATGGATGGCATAATATCGCCTAGAAATATCAGGTTGATTTGTTACTTGTTCGACAGGCACATTTAGTCCTATGTGCAGCTTTATAGGTTGTTTGAAGTTGCACTGAAGTAAGTGGCGGCATTCCGATAGAAACAAATTTCACTTAACTAACCACAGAGGAGTCAGTAGAGCTATTCCTCTGCAACAAACATAATTTCCTTATAAGCTGTTCGACACTTTTCGTTTTCTTCGTACATTTATTCCCCTTTATGAATTTGAGTAAAGCAAGAACAACAGTTTTTTGCAGAATAATATAGTTCCATCATTTATTTCGTTGGCTCCTTATCGGCTGCTTACAGCCTAAATCAATTATTATTAAGTTAATGTGATAAAAGCGTTGGCGTGTGAACATTTGTGCATTGTATTCAAGGTGCAAAAAAGTTTTTAGCTAATAAATGATTCACACTACAAGATACACACACACGCCTTGGATTTCACTAGTAATCAGTGGCAAACAAAATAATATCAAAAGGCTCTATAGCCAACGGCGAAAACGTATAAAGCATTCTTATGACAATCAAAAAGTTTATCTGAGCGATACGGATCGGTTATTTCGCATATATAAGAAGCAAGTAGCTTGTATCACTCTTCGTAACTTGAATAGTCACATTTAATCTAAAACAAGATTTCCATTCCCAAAAATAAGCAGTCAGAGAGTCATGTGAACAATGTTCTTTAGAGGATTCATCTCTTCTTCACCTTTTAATAGACAGTCATGAATGAATGCATGAATCAAAGTTAGAACAACCAAGTAAACAATCTTTTCAAGTGATCATTTAGTTATCCTTCAACGAGGTCAATTTATTCTGTTCTGTGTTTAACAATCACCACAACAAGCACATAAGATCATCAAATATTCGTGATGACACTTGAGTACATATATATATATATATATATATATATATGCAAGGTAGAGGAACATGGGAAAACATTTTCTATAACAATTATGAGATTCGCGTGTTAAACAAAAGTACAGGCATAAATGTATCTACCTAAATTGACATTATTTAGTAACAAGACGAAAACAGGAAATGAGAGAAAAATAAAGTAACCAACAAATGAAAAAATAGAAAGGGTAACATGGTTAAACGTCCGTTAGTGAAGTATTTTGATCAGTTTTTTTTATTATTATTCATTTCTCCTAAGAATTCAGAGACGGAAATTACAAAAAGCTGTGGAATTCTGCCGAATTGTTGAAAATATTATACAACAACGTCATTGTGATTACTTTTTATCATCATTTGGCTTAAAAGAACTTCAATTACTTTTGACTTCCCCGTGAAACACATGACATTATGCTTTTTACGCGTCGGGTGCGGTGGTGTTAATTATACTGGGTGAAAACTCCATAGTCTCACTCCCAAACAAATATTTCTTTTTTTGGGCAAACAACCGGTTAGCAAACTAGGGTAGGTTTTAAGAGTACGTCAGTTGGCAATCGAACCTAGATATCCCACGTGGTAGGTGAGAATTCTAACATTGACAAAACGGACACATCATTACCAATGGTTAGAAAATTGATACTATAGACAAAGATGTCTTGAATGTCTTAGAAATTTTGGTGAATTTAAATGTGAAAAGATGGATTGTATTATTCTTAAACAATAGACTATTTTCAGCGCTTCTTTATCTATAGTCAAGTCACAAGCAGCAAGGCTTCGGAGATATTCAACATAAAATGTGTTCGGAAAACAGAAAAAAAGAACTAATCACTTCAAATTCAATGTTTTGCTCTTATAAAGCAGGACACAACACCTTACTTTACTTTTTCCAGCAGACAATTTGATATCTGATAAAATTATGTGAACAGAATGATTGAAAGCAATCGGACAGGCATAGACAAAACATGCATAAGATTTGGCAGTCTGTCATGACAGTTGATCTTTGGCAGTTATTACGTACACACATAATTTAAAGTGGTGGTTAGCCTTTTTTCACCTGATGACAGTGTCGTAAAAAAAAATAACTGTCACGGTTAATTCAAAGTACATCAATGTCTGGATAATGCCTTTCAAAGTGTCTGCTATATTTTATGCGAAGGACATAAGTGTCGCTTAATTCAGATAGTGATGTTTATTATAATAACAAAGAAATTTGGTTAAATATAGATAATTTCAGTTGAATGTATTTAAAACCGTTCGAACCGCAGTGAATTCGTGCTGTCAATGAGTCCCAATACTGGGATGAAACAGAAGAAGTCCAATACCACCTGAATTTCAAACAAACAAATCAAATCCCTACAAACAAACTCTGGAAAATTAATCTGATGCTCGCTAGTGAATCAGTACAGGACGAAGTTGTCTGGAGTTTTAGTGAGAAGTCGTGACCAGTGTGGTAAACCTAGTCGGGAGTGAGGACGAAAACTCGCCACGGATGACGTCGGCTGGTGCCAATTGCGCTAAAATCACGAATTGGTAGAAGTTAAAACCCATGGCCAGTGGCCCAGTGGTGGGATTGTCTACTGGCCTTGTAAGCTAAAGGTCTTGAGTTCAAACCGCGCGATGTGGGTGGTGCGTGCTGACGATGAGTCCCAGACCAGGACGAAACAGATGTCCAGTACTCCCTGGATTTTGAAGGTTCTCTAATTTATATCAATCCGTTGTCAAGCCTGAAACAAATCGATAATCTAGAAACTAGGTCATGAAATTTTCATTCACTTCTACCTATTAATAAGTGATGAAATTTAACCTTAATATTCATACAATAAAGGAGAGCTCTGAAGAGTATTTTCTAAAGATATACAGTTTCTCATTCGGGTATTCAATTCATGTAAACAGAACTCAGGTTGCTGAAGGAGGGTAGTTAACTGTGTGGGTAGTTGTATACAATTTAGGTTGAAAGCCTCGGACGAACTATGCATTAGTACTATGGTGAGATAAATATAAAAGCTTTGAATGACATCGTGAAGAAAAACAACCATATTAATACAGTGAAACAGATACATTCTAAAATAGACTACGGCTAGTCAAGGTAGCATACACCACTGTAAACTCATCATAAGTTATAACTATTCGTAAACTCAAATATATGAACAAAAACGTGAAATAGTGTAATAAGAGTTCACTCAAAACATCGCCACTAATACTTCATTGGATGGTCCAGACACTAGTTGAAGAAGTATACTTCAAAAGATGAAAAAGCCCTGAAACAACGTCACTTTCAATGACAACGTTAAAAGATGTGTTTTATTTATTAATTGAAAATAGGAACATTTTCTTTAAAGCATAGAAATAGAATCGGCTAAGACTGGCTTCGTTCTATACTCAAGACCATATGGCCGGAAAGAATCACAAACAAGTAACTATGGGAACAAACAAAACAAGAACCAATCGCTCAACAAATATGCAGGAGAAAGCGGAGATGGATTGGACACTCGCTGAGGAGGCCGCTGGGTGACATCGCGCGTCAGGCCAGTGCTCGAGTGGAACCCGAAAGGGAAGCGGCGAGTGGGACGTCCAGGGGTGACATGGAGGAGATTGTGTGAAGAGGAGTTGAAACAGTATGGACTAACATTGATGCAGGTGAAAAGTACATCAGAAGACAGAAGCAAGGGGAAGCGTGCAGTTGAAGCCCTATATTCCACTACGAACCCAAGGGAACAATAATAATATAATATAATAAGTCTGGTTTTGAAATATTACAGTATCAGACACATTTGATGTACAATGATCACTAATACAATGAAGTTGTAGAGATCGAAGTGGAAATAATTACACATACGTAGGGAATGTTCACTGACTGATACTCAGGTATACCAGTTCATTACTGTTTATTCAAAAACTGATTGATAGAATTGTTTTTCGTCTTTAAATCACCCCTGTTAAATGTCTATAAACGAAAATCCCAATTCACCTTGAATCATAACTTTCAAAATCGATATCAGTTTTCCAACTCAAGGCCACCGCAAATTGTATCATTATAGGTAGGATAAATATATAAACAGGAAGTATAAATAAAGTAATTATAACATGAATCACCAGTCAAAACTAACTATAAAATTATTGTAAATGTGGGAGTACAATATAGTTCCAGTGGGAAGTCGTGACCAGTAGGAAGCAACAGGTCCGGTGTGGGGACAAATACTCGCCGAAGATATTGGCTAACCATCGCGCTATATCGTGAATTGGCAGAAGTTAGAATTCATGGGCTGGCCATCGGATCGGGTCCCAGTGGCTTAATGGTTGCGAGCTTGCCTTGTAACCAGAAGGTCCTGGGTTCGAACCCCGGTGGGTGCGTACTGTGAAGAGTCCCAAACTAGGACGAAACAGCTGTCCAGTACTCCCAGGTTTTCCAGTGGTTCTCTAACCAATGTCAGCTCGAGATGAAATCCTGTAACCAATCAACCAAATCCCCACAAACCAATACTTGAATATAGTTATTTGTAGGATTTGAGACGCGCTTTTCGTCTTACCTAGGATTCACCAGCAACCGCAGTGATTGTTTCCACTGGGATTCAAACGTATATGCCGAAATGATGCTTATCAATTCAGCCCAGTAATATCAACGGAAAGTCACAATTAGAAATAAAAAAGTGCGATATAGCCATCTTGGCTCACTGAATTCTTTATGCATGTGTACATTAAAGGTTCGAAATTCGCTCCAAATAAGCATAAAACCTAGGTCCAAGGATTACTGCAGATTACCACCACCTATCAATTGAATACAACGGCATTACACTAAATTTAACTTGACACCGGTACCTACCCCAACATAACACTAAGGTTCAACTGCATTGTCATATATAATGAAAATAAAACAGAAATTATATTTGCTTACACAGCAACAGGTTCTTTAAATTTGCCTTCCTTTTGTATTCTGAACATTAAATCACCACCATTCACAAATTCCATTACAAAGTACAATCGATCCTGATAGATAAATAGAAAAACACAGAGAAAGAAAGCAACAATTGAGAGAGATCAAAAACTGAACAGTTGACTAAAATGCTCAGGAGAGCAAATCAAACAACAATTAATTATAGTAACATAATCGGTAGACACAAACAGTTAACTAATTAATTACTTAATTGACGTATATACGCTACTGATGATGACAGTGTTCACAATTTAACTGCAATACAATCAAGAAAATTCAAAAAATAAAAACATATACACTGAGAATATATGTGTAAAACTTGGGCACTGTGGTAGTAAGTAATTCCATATTAGTTTGTTTATTAGATGTATTACACAGTGAAACAGTATTATTATTTACTGGATGTCGTTTAGAACAAAATTTATTGTTCATAATCATATCATCAATTGTAATCACACGACTTTGAAACTTGAGTTTTATAGTTTTCTTTGTCTTCTACTATTTGTTGTCGTTGGGGTAGTAGAATTTTCCAGATATCGGGGACAGGTGATGAATCATTCCTATTACATGTATTTCCCGTTGATTCGATAAACAAAGCTTCTGTTATCAATCTCTCCCTCCACCCTGTGACATTAGATTTTAAAACTGTCATCTTATCCCATCCTATTGTATGGTTGTGTGTGACTGCATGCAGTGCTATAGCTGAACTATTCTCTAAATTTCTTATCTTATTTGGATCAATTAATCTAGATTTTGCTAGGTTTCTATGTTCGGGCAGTCTGACTGCCCCTGTTATACTACTTTGATCTATATATTTGACCTGACAATCATTACAGCAGGGTCCACAGGTTCCTTCAACCGACAAAGCTTGTTTCTAATTGAGTTTGTGGGTTTGAATGCCACCTTTATTCCTGTCTTGTTAAGAATTCTGCGTAAGGCTTCCGAGGTTCCTTCCTTGTATGGAATTACTACTGATGATTTAGATTCCTTATTGTTGGTGTCGTCATTATTATTATTACCATGATTATCACTATTATTATTATCCTCATTATTGTTGTCATTATTATCACTATCGCTACTATCATTATTTATTTTATTTTTACATTTCCTTACATTTTTCCTGACTAATTCATCCGGGTAATTATCAAGTTTCAAGGCTTCTTTTATGTGTGTCACTTTCTGTCATAGATTTTCCTTGGTACTACTTAGTTTTTATGCTCTGTCACTTAAACATTTTAACAATCCTATTTCTACTGACATAGGATGGGATGATCGGAAGTCCAAATATCTGTTTGAATATGTGGGTTTCCTGCAAACACTAGTGTTTAACTCCCCATCTTCTTTCCTTTTTACGTTGCAATCTAACATTGGGAGCTCTTCTTCCTGACTTTCCCATTCATAAGTGAATTGAATTGCCTCTACCTTTGAGTAAATGTGTTCGAAAAATCTATCTATATCCTGTGTTCTAAGTACAGTGAATGTGTCATCTACATACCTCCACCAAACTTTTGGGGTGGGGGTGAATGTTTCAATCGCTATGTTTTCCCACCTATCCATGAATGTATCTGCTACAACCGAGGATATTGGTGATTCCATGGCAACTCCCTCAGTTTGTTTCTATATTTTCTCTTGGAATTTAAATACTGTGGAAGTCAGGCATAGCTGTACTCCCAGCATTATGTCCTCAAGTGGCACTTTTGTCCTAAGTTCGAGGTCTTGGTCAGAAATGAGTTCGTTTCTGACTGCTTCTATAGCCATATTTATTGGTATACGTGTGTATAAACTGACAATGTCAAAACTAACCATTTTTTCTTCATTATCTAATTTTAAATTATCTAATCTATGTTTTAGTTCATAAGAATTAATTAGTCTAGATTTCGAGTGGCTTTTTAGGGGATTTAATACCATGGCTAAATATTTAGATAATTCATAAGTAGGTGAATTTCTAAAATCAAATATAGGCCTAATAGGGTATCCTGACTTATGAACTTTAACAAAACCATACATCCTACAGGGGTTATTAGTTTTGGGCACTAAATTAAACCACTTAGACTCACCTAGAAACCTAAAGTATACACTGAGAATTTGAAAAATATCATCAAATAGAAAAATTAGTAGAATAATAACATATATAATATTTAATCTCTTAAGATCTAAAAGGATATCTGCGTGAGCAATTAATTCAAGAATCAAAATTATTATCTCTCTTCAATTCTGCACTGATTGATTTTATTCGACTGAATTTTTATTTAATCTGTGTTGAATTAATATGTTTCTGGTTCACGATGATGCCTTGTGTTCAACAAAATGTGTTACCGTCAGAATGAATGTTCCAGTCCAATAGTTTCAATCAGTAGGAAATTCACAATTAAAAAATTAAACAACGAACTAATACCCATTGGATAAAATGTGGCTCTCGTTATCCAGGTCATAGTGATTTGGAGTTGAAACTGAGTTATTGGATTAAAGTATGAGTCGGAAGTGCAGGCATATACAGACGACCACTAATGATAATAAGACACAACCCATGTCCTAGATTCAAATAATAGTGTCACCACCAACCAAGTAATTTTCTGATTTTCATTTTAAATTCAGTACAATTCAGTAGAAAAGCTATTAAAAATGTCTGCAAAAACCTACAGATTTTTGTATCTATAAACCTCTGCGAATCTGTAACTAAAGTAATTTGAATACTAGACAACATTTAACACCGTATTGTGACAATTTCGTTGCAATAAAATGAGAGGAAGTTATAAAATTAGTGGGGAGTGAAAAAACCCTTTACGCCGTTTGCTTTTTTTGTGTGTAGTCATTTTCAATCCAAATTCACTACACAAACACACACACACACGTTTTCTACACTACCTGCTGAGCTACCTGACTTGCATAAATCAGTATCCCACAAAATAAGTAATTATTTAACAAACTGCACGGTTCATATTGATGTTTCACACAGCGCTGAACAATTTTCGACTATTCAATTATAATCTTTACACACACGCTTCTTTGTATTATTATTACTGTTCCCTTGGGTTCCTAGTGGAACATAGGGCTTCAACTACACGTCTCCACTTGCTTCTGTCTTCTGCTGTATTTTTCACCTGCATCAATGTTAGTCCATACTGTTTCAGCTCCTCTTCACACAATCTCCTCCATGTCACCCTTGCACCGACGTCCCACTTGCCACTTCCCTTTCGGGTTCCACTCGAGCTATGGCCTGACGCGCGATATCACCCAGCGACCTCCTCAGCAAGTGTCTAATCCATCTCCGCTTTCTCCTGCATATTTTTCGAGCGATTGGTTCTTGTTTTGTTTCTACCTATAGTTTCTTGTTGGTGATTTTTTCCGGCCATCTGATCTTCAGTATAGAACGAAAACAGCTGTTGATAAACGTCTGCAACTTGTTGGAAATATTCTTTGTGATCCATAAAGAAGAACTGACTTGACGTTTGTATTGAAAATCCGAATTTTGTTGTTGACGCTGAGTGACAGCAGAAGATTTCCAGATTGGTTTCAGGTTGATGAATGTGTTTCTCGCCTTCCCGATTCTCGATTTGACATCCTCGTCCGTTCCTCCTGTAGTTGAGACAATGCTTCCTAGATAAGTGAATGAAGTAACCTCTTTCAAATCCCTCGCGTTGATGGTGATTGGCGCTGGAGGTTGCTTCTTCTTCTTCTTCTTTGTACAAACCACTTATTTTCAAGAAGATAAATTATGATTACTGACACCGACTGATGTTTTATACCCAGAATTCAGTTATTCGGGATAGAGTTTTCATGTAATATGATGTCTGCATACTTACTGCATCCATTCGTCCAGAGTGAAGTAAGCCGAGCCGGTTTGCAGTCTGCAACCCATTGGTTGAAAGTCATTTGCTTAAATCAAACAACCACAGGGGTCCTGTAACGAGTTAAACTATGGAAGAATAAGTTGATTTGCAAAATTCGCTCATATTGTTCATTAGTATAACCTGACAGTTAGTGACTCTTTCTTGTGTTACAGTTAACAATCTGTAGAGGTGGATAGTTTTTAGTTTACTTTTCTTACAGGAACGATAATGACATTCATGCCGGATGATTGGTTTAATTGTAGACAATTCAAGTGAACTATTATTTACCCCAACTGGTCATTTATTCAATATAATAAGTATGCTGGCAGGATGTAATTCTTTCAAATGACTGAAAAAAGGACAACTTGACAATTTACATTTTCACATGCCTTATAAACACTTATCCCTATCGGACAAAAGTTTGCACTTGTTTATAATCACAAGTTTCATTTAAGGATTATTATTGTTATTATTACTTTTAAGTAGGCATTCAATACAACGAAACTATAATACCCCAGTGTTACATTCATATACGTCCACTGGGTATGCATAAAAAACGTCGTGTATTTCCGTTCTTTAAATTCTCCCTCTCTGTAACCAATAGTAACGGATATATAATACTTTGTTCCATGGGAAAAAATATTGTCTGTTTATTAATCTTTTTTGTTGTTGTTGTTATTGCTTTGTTCCTGTTTTCAAGATATTTCGTTGGTGATAAGATGTCGACTTCTCATATTACCTACAAATGAATGAACAGGCTATATTATTAGAAAGACGCATTGATAACCTCACTATGATGTATTACTACTAGTGGGGTAGTGAATGCATTCTATGCATCCAATGTTAATTAGAATTGCAAATAAATTGGAAAATAACCTTTCAATTTAAAATTTAACTTTTTGACACATATTGTTGTGGAAAAAACACACCAAACAATTAGTCAATCATCCCGCAAGCAAACAACGTCATTGTGTTTAACAGAAAATGCTGACAAAATTCAAAAAAGAGGAAAAAGCGTAACATACCCAACACTTAATAATAATAATAATAATAAAACTGACTGCCAAAAATCCATGGAAACAGTCAGATCTTAGCACTAAGAGTATCAGACATCCATATATTTCACAACTTTGAACAGAAATGTTTTGCAATTAAAAATCTTGGTGAATTATGTAACATCACAATTTTCAGTCAGCATATGTTATTCTATGATATTTCATTAA